TGTTATGTCATTTTGCAAATACAGTCTGGGCTCATTATCCTTCTACTTATTAAATTCATCAAAAGCTGTCTAGGAACAGATTTTCTGTTTTGTCAACTACACCCTCAGTCTTGTTCCCAGATTTTTCATCAGTATTTTTTCAGACTTTGATGGAAAAAAAAAAAGGGAATGATTTCATGAATTTCAAATATGCTGTAGCTGTTTCAGTGCAACATGCAAGTCCATAACAGCCATCTGTGGTTGCTCCCAGCATACCCCACCCTACCGGCAGTGCCAAATTAGTGCGGTTGGTTAGAACGTGGCGTTCACACATCCACAATCAATTCCAATGTGACCCAACTGCTGTGCAGAGAAGGAAAATGTCTTCAGTGTCAACCTGAACTTCTCAGGTCAGCAGTCTAAGCAATCTAGGCCCTTGATTATTAAAATTTGGGAATTTTCCAGAAATTGCTTCATGGCTTCTATTTTAATTTCATTGCGGTCAGAAATTGTTTTTTGTATGACTTGAATCCTCATAGAGACTTGTTTTATAGCCCAGAATATATTCTTTCGTGGTGCATGTCCTATGTGCATGAATGTGGTGTATCTCTGTTGAGATCCTTCATGTTGGCAATGTTTTGCAGTTTCTGAGCATAGCTCCTTTGTGTCTTTCATTAAATTCATTCCTAAGTATTTAGAGTACTAGTATAAATGGTATATTTAAAAATTTTATTTTCTAATTGCTGCTTGCTGATACATAAAATATTGATTTATATATACTGTGACCTTTTATCCTGTGAGCTCACTAATTTCAATAATTCTAGCAGATTTAAAATATTTTCTATACAATCTATTAATCTAAAAACAATCTAGATTAATCTATGAATTTCAAGACAATACTTCCTAAAAAAAACTTTCTACATAGACAATTGTGAATAGACAGTTTTACTTTCTAATCTTTACACCTTTTAATTACTTTTGCCGACTGCACTACCTAAAACCTAGTCAAATAGAAGTGGTGAGAGCAACATTCTCACCTTCTACCTAATCTGAGGATTTGACTATTTCACCACAAAGTAGCTAGCTATTGGTCTTTTGTAGATGTCCTTTATAAGATGAAGTTTTCTTTTAGTTCTAGTTTTATGATTTTCACCATAAACTGGCAATAAATGTCATGCTTTTTTCTGAATTTATTGAGATAACATGATTTTTCTCCTTTGTTAATGTGGTAAATTACATTGTTTATTAAATGCTGGGCAAACCTTGCATTCTGGGGAAAGCCCCAATTGGCCATTGTATTTATCCTTTCTCTACATTGCTGTGTTCAATTTCCTAGTATTTTGTATAGGACTTTTTTCTTCTATATTAATGTGATATTGGTCTTTGGGTTTTTTTTTTTCTGGTATCTTTGTCAGATATTTCTAGTAGGACAATGCTGTTATAAAATTAGTTGGATAATATTCTCCTTAATTTTGTTTCTGTAAACTGAGACATTGTGTTCTTTAAATATTGATAGAATTCACTAGTGAAGTCACCTGGGCATGAACTTTTTCTGTAAAGTGGTTTTTATTTTTTTTTATTTTTTTTTGAAGGTGGAAAGCATAGTCTTTATTTTTTTTTTCATTTTTTAAATTTATTTACTTTTTAAATACATTTGTCTCTGCCTCCCCCTGTAAAGTGGTTTTTAATTATAAATTCAAATTCTCTAATAGATGTACAACTACTTAGATTTTCTATTTCTTCTTCAGTCAGTTTGTAGTTTTGTGTTTTCAAGAAACTTGTCCATTTCTTCTAAGTATCACATTTTATTGTCCTGTATTTGTTTGTAATGTTTTCCCTTTATGGTTTTAATTAGAATTTTTAACCGTCAGTACTACTGACATTTGGGGCCAGAAAATTGCTGTGGGGGACTGTCTTGTGCACTTCAGAGTAATGTTTAGCAGCATCCTGGCCTCTTCCCACTAGATGCTGACAGCAGCTTCCTCCATCTTGAAAATCAAAAATGTCTCTAGACGTTGCCAAATCTTCCTTGGAGATATGCCTCTGGTTGAGAAGCACTATTTTAATGTCTATAGGATCTTTAGTGAGCTTTCATTCCAGACACTGGTAATTTGGTTTTATTTATTTTAAAATTTGTTTTGTTAAGAGCTTTGTATGATATAGAAAAGGAGGCTATGTCCCACACGTAGCACGTGGATCTTTTTGCTGATTTTGACTTAGCTCATTGAATCAAATTCCTTTCTAATAAAGTAATGAAAAAGCTATAAATTCTCCTTCAAGAATACTTTATCTGTATCCCATAAATTTTGAAATGCTGTGTGTTAATGGATATTCTTAGCTAATTAATGGCTATGGAGAGTATTGTTTATCTATGGAGGTAACTTAAGAGCATTATTGTCATTTCAACAGAACCACTTACAAATGGACTTTTGGTTCTGTGACAGGCAAGCAATGAAGAACAATATTAATACATATAACTATGTAATAAAATTCAGTCACATAAATTAAAAACGCTCTCCCAACTAGTTGATAAATTGATGTAAAATTCCTGCAACTGGCAGCAACATTTTTTTTGCTCTTCTAGCTAAAAGAAAAAAAAAAGCCACAATCTGTAACCCGCAGAACATTTACCAGGACAAGAAAATTACAATTTTATTGCACCTTATAGAGTATTGATTTGCTGCCATCTGCTGGGAGGCAGAAATGGGTTTCTAGCGTCCTTACAGGGCAAGAATGATGACCTTATAAATTGTAAAACTTTGCCTATCCCATAAAACAAAACATCCTTTGGACCTGAAAGAAATCAATATTAAATATGTGTTAATTGATTGTTTATGTTACCAGTAAGGCTTCTGGTCAATTGGGCTATTAGTATTTAAGTTTTTGAGGAATCAAAAGTTTTATTTTCAGCTGTGCAGGGGGTCAGCACCCCTAACCCTTGTACCCTTCAAGGGCGAACTGTATTATTCACCTAGAACTACACTTAACGTAGTGCCATGTATTCAGCCTATATACACACCTTTTTTTTTATGGCTTGGACCATCTAAAAGTCGTCTGCAGGTATCACACACGATCTCACCCCTGAATACTTGAGCATACATCTCCTAAGAACAAAAGCATTCATCTAATAACCACAGACAGTATCATGATATTTGAAAAATTTAAGTCACCAATATATCTATTACACTTTCATGTTCCAATTTCCCGTTATCCACAAAATGTCCTGTAAAATCCACAATCTTATACAGTTCACAGTTGCCTTAATGGAGATCAGTCCTATCTTCTCTTGTTGTCTTCCATGATACTGACATTATCGAAAAGTCCAAACACATCACATTCTAAATTTATCTGTTTTCTTACAGATCCAGGCTAAATGTTTTTTGGCGAGAATGCTTCAAAGGTGTACTTCCAATAACATCATAGGTTTGTGTTTTCCCCAATATTGACATTGGAAATTTTTTCCATGAAACACCTATTAACATTTTGCAAAGGACTAATGTTCTATAGATAGAACATAGTTTAGGGAACACCTACAAGGAAAAAAAAGTGAAATTCACTGAGGTGTTTAAGAGTTCATAGACTAAAAAGCAGGTAAGGATTAAAAAACTCTTTTCTAATGAACTTCCTCATTTCCTTAGGTTATACAAACTGAGCTTTCATGAAACTTAACACCTACCCCCCAAAATAAAAGAAAGAAAAAAAACCCCAAACCCTCCATTATACAGATAAGCAACCTTAACTTAAGGAAATTAACTAACTTCTCCCAAATTCTATATACTATTTACTGTGTCCAGGAGCCGAGATTTGAAACCAAGTCTACTTCAGTGTTTCCACTAGACTTTCTGCTTCATTTGGACTCGTTTAATTTTTTGCAATGGACTATTCTTGGTTCTACAATTACTCTGGGGTAAAAGTGGTGGCGTTTAGTCTAAATAATAATGAAGACCCTGGGAAAATTTGTTATTGTTCTATCTTCATGAACAATCAACCTATACCAAGTAGCTGAGGAAGGCCTAACCCTTCACAAATGTAAGCAATTATGCAAATCATATGTGAGGATTGTAGTCTTGGTTCCAGATACTAATTATAATATACCCCCATCTATGACTTTTTATTAGCCATAAATTGATCCTTGTTATTGCCCATTGATGCTGTCATCATTCTATTTCACCACTTTGGAGACTTTGAGTTTTTCCTAAAAATCCAAGAACTCAGGTTTTATTACTTATTAGATAATTTCACAGATTTTCAAAATATTAGTTACCATTCTGCCTTGTAGTGAGGTAGCAAATATTTAAGCACGCTCGTTTTCATCTCCATTTCAGGCAAGAGCCTTCCGGACGCCTGCCCCCCGCCCCCCCCGCGCCCCTCCGCCAGGTGACCTTCCGAAGGAGATGAGCGCGAGTCCGAATGGGTGACCTTGAAAATAAACTGAGAGACCTTCAGCCTTTAAAAACCACGCCATGGGTTAAAAACTTGAGCTATATTTCGGCTGAACGTTGAGCATTTCTTCCAACAGGCTGGAAACTGCTTTACGGAGTCTGAGTTTTCTTAACAGCTTGTCAAACATCCGTTGTCTCGCTCTCGACCCCATACTTGAAGATCGCGGAAGCGGAGGGAGGAGGTCTGAGTACGCAGAGCCTGGGGCCGGACTCTGGCTCCATTTCCCTGGCCTCGAGAAACGCGAAGGCCGGGAGTGGGGGAAGGTTACCCTCGGACCTTCCAGGCGAGATCCAATCCAGACCTGGAGAAAAGCAAAAGCTACTCGGAAAAAAAAAGCTCCCCTCCACCACTGCACTTTGCCACAACTTCCCACCGCTCCACCACAGTCCCGCAAGCCGTCACCTACACGCTCCACCCGTCACACGGAGGAATCCCGCTGCCAAGCCGGCAAGGCCCCTAGCCACGCCCCCTGCCGCCAATTGTCACCCACGCGCCTGACACTGGGTGCTGCGCCTGCGCGGCCTGGCCAACGCGGGGTTGCGGGGGGGGGGAACCTGGCTTGCGGAAGGGGCGGGGCGGGGCGGGGCGGAGCTGTACTTCCTTGGCCTTGGCGGGTGAGTGTGGGGTGGGGGTGTGCGCTGTGTCCGGAATCGGTGTTCGGCTTCCCGCCACGGGCCGCCGGGCGTGGGGTGGGAGCCCCCTCGGCTTCAGGGGCGCCCCCTGGAGGATTGGGGTGGGGGAAGGAAGAGAAGAATATTGAATTGGGTGATGTTGGGTGTGTGGGATGCGAGGACTGGCAAGCATCGCCAGATGAGCTCAAAGGGAAGGTTCGTTGGTTCTCTCCTTAAAAAGGAAGTGCTCTGAAACCGGTGTTTGTAAATTTTCATAATTTTGGGCGGGTCTGTGAGCTTCCCGTTGTATCACAGCAAGGTGACTCGCCCTCCGCCCCTGCCACCCCTGGCGAAGGGTTAACCGTAGCATGCTATGTCCAGTGTAGCTAGTGCCAAAGAGTGAAAGTAAAACTCATCTTTTGTAGAATAAAATCCAGTATGTAACAGCGTTTAAACAGTATCTAGGTCTGTCAAATACTGTGCCCAGGCATGGGCTAACTCTTCCAGCAAACATACTGTAGTCAAATAAATGTATTTCTCATTATAAATTGAAAGGCAACCTAAACTAAATGATATTTCTTATTACCTTTCTTAAGAGTTGTGCCCTAGTACATATACCTTGGAAAACCAAATAAAAAACAGACTATAACTTTTCCAAATTGATAGAAAACCAAGTTTCATTAAGGTCTGTGCAGATTCTAAGTCACCTTGAGGTCATCCAGGATATAGTAAACACTTCACATTTTTGTTCAATATAATAAGAATTAAACAGAAAAACAGGAAAAGTTCAGTTCTTTGAAGACTAGTATTCTATTAGAGACAAAATAAACACATGAAAAGTTACATAACTAAGAAATGGCAATCACGGTTTTAGATTTAAAAGATGTCTAATGAAAACCTGTATTTGCCATTGGACGGTGCTGGTGAGTGCTCGAAACATTTGCATCCCAGCGGATGATTGCCGTGTGGGAATGTGGGTCCCTCACACACAACAGACTTGATTTTCTCCAGTACAGCCTGAAAAATCCGATCTGTATTTTTATGTGATTTAAAATTTTTCTTTTTTTGACAGAGGGTAAGGGAGGGAGAAAGAGAGGGAGAGAAAGATCAATTAGTTGTTTCTCGTATGGAGGACCAAGCCTGCAACCTAGGGCATGTGTCCTGACTGCGAATTGAATCCGTGACTGTTCGCTTTGCCAGACAACGCCCAGCCAATTGAGCCACACTGGCCAGGGCTAAAAAATTTTTAAATGTTATTGTCAACCAGTTTACTCACACACCCTCTGTGAGGTGGGAAAAGGCAGTTTGTGACTTCTGCGGATTATCACCAAAGTATTCAGAAATAATTGGAATTGAAAGAATCCTGGAAACTGGTAGTCAGCTAAGGATTTAAGAAAACAGTAAGATTTAAGCTAGGTTAAATAGGAGAGGTGTTTTAGAGGGGGACATAACAGGTGAATAAAACCCAGTGGAGAAAGTAAGCAGAGATAATGAGTAAACTTTAGAATAAATGGGTCTGAGAAAGCAAGTGCAGTAAATGAAAGAAAACTTGTTTGGGAAACCCTACAATGCCAGACTGGAGTTCATTCTGGGTCAGTGGTTCTAAAACTTGAACATTTACCAAAATCATCTGGAAGGCTTATGACTGGAGATTGCTGGCGCCTCCTGAATTTCCCATTCAGAAGGTCTGGGCGGGGCCTGAGAATTTCTTTCTCTCATCAGTTCTCAGTTGATGCTGATGCTGCTGGTCTGGGGACCACACTTTGAGAACCACTGTCCCAGGGTGTGGGATCTGTGGAGGAATTCGAGGTGGATAGTGAGGAGATCGATCACATTCACAGTTCAGTATGAGCTTTGCTGTGAAGTCCAAGATGGAAGACTGAAGACAGGGAATGAGAAGGAAGGTTCCTTATAGTTAATTCACACTTGCTTGATGCCAGGCCCTCTGCTCTCGCATGCACACTATTTCACTTCGTACTGTGACCTTGATGTGTTGGTCTTAATATTTTCATACGGAGAGTAGTGGAGATAGCCCAGGTCTCATAGCTAGGCTAGTCTCAGCTTCCTAAGACTCGTTCAGATTTGGATTAGGGTAGTAACAGTAGAAACGAAAACTTTTAATGGTGATGGAATTTTGAAAAACAGAGACTTCCCAAGTAGATTGAAACCTAAAAGTAAAATTGGGAAATCTGAGTCTTAACTGCCAAAGTGAAAAAAGGTAAAGTGGACAGGGAACTTGAGAATGTTCCCTGCATGAATTCAGTGTGTGTTCCATATAACTTATATAACAATGACCTATTTAAACGCTGCTTGTTTAAAAAGTAATCCTGCTCTACCAAAATTTCCTGAAATTATTTGAGAAGGAGAAAGTACAGCCTTCTGTGGGGGTGGTAGGAGATACTAAATAGATTAGTGGTATCTGAGAGCTCATCTTTAAATAAAAAATGATTAGCATTGAGGAATAGAAACACATGGTATAACACTGCACTGACTATATGAACTGTACTGCGCTGCGGACACTGACCTAATGTATTGATTTTGGAAATCCTGTGTGCTTTTTCTTGCCAGAGTAGTTATTGAAATTGAAAATATTCACTGGATCAATTTCAAGACAAATATCCCAAGTCAGACTGGCTGCTGCTGAGCAAATTTTTAATGAAGGACAGCGTCCATATATTGAAATCTACTTTTAAAAGAAAGTCCTTAAAAGAAATATAGGTATTTACTTTAAAATCTAGAAAAATGTATGTTTTCAAACATTTGATTAACTGAATAATTAGCATAATGGAGTTATTGACCCGTACAAAATTACAGCACACATTCATTTATTCAGTGAGCAATAAAGTGTGATGTGGGTATAAAGATAAGTCATAGTCAAAGCAAAACTGACATCTTAAAAAATGATCCCAAAACAGTGTGATCATTGCTATAATAGAGGAATGTGACGAGTACGTGGTGACAGGAGATAGGGGTGACAACTGACGAGGCATGGAAAGGGGTCCAGGGTCCTGTGATAGAGGAGGAAACACTTGAGTTGATTCTTGAAGGCCGAGGGGGAATTTGTGAGACAATCAAAGGAGATAAGGGCATTCTAATCAGAAGAAACATCAAAGACAATGGCCAACATGTATAAAAGAGTGTGGCTTTTTCCAGGGCCTCGGTGCAGATCAGAGTAGTTACAGTGATGTGGTAAAAGTAGGGGAGAGGTGGAGAAGAGCACTCAAAAAAGAGTGTGAAATATTTAGGTAATGACCGTCTTGGCTGAATTGTAAAGCTCATGATGTAAGGAGCCATGTTGGGCGCATATACCAATGTATTCCAAGGCCTAGCGCTGGACCCGGTGTGTAGTAGGTTCTCAATAAATAGTTGCTGAGTGAATGAATGGCTGGATCACAGCAAAACATTTTTTGCAGATGAGGCAGAGGGAACTTTTCAAATATTTTAAGCAGAGGAGTAAGTAATATAATCCGATTTATATTTTAGGAAGGTAAGTGCTTGTATGGAAGAAGAATTAGTGATCATAGAGATGACTGTAGTAGATTGGGGTTTTTCATTAAGGTCGTACCCATCGGTAGATTGCAATCTACATTAAAAAAAAAATAGAATAGAAAAAAGACAGGATTAGAGAGTGTCGCATGTAATAAGGGTATGTAATGTTTTGTGAAACTTGTTTTATTTATATGCCTGTGTGTTGACTGATAGGAGTGTAATTCTCTCCATGGACTGCGATCAAAGCTTGAAAGCCATTAGAGAAATGTGGGAATGAGGTTGGAGAGAAGGGAATGGATATCAAGCTATTTTGGAGGAAAACAAATGTGAACCTTAGAATGCTGGTGTCGTGTGAACCTTCTTGTAGAGGACGGGTGCACTTCCTAACCCACTTCAGTATTTTGGCCCAAGTGATGCGTTCCATTGTGTATTAGTGCGTTGACACTGGTTCATTAGGAATGGCAGTGCTTTGAGGTATCTTACTGAATGTTGCAAACGCTCAGATTAAAACCGTAGGATGAAACTATAGTCCCGGGAATCCTGGAAATTCATTGAAATTATTTGATTTGATTATTGGCCAATTTCTTTGATTCCTTCCCACAAGGAAAAGATGCGTAGCCACTCAAGCAGGCGGGAAGTCCTCCCTGCCTCTGTGATTTTGCCGCTCCGGTCAACTTAGTCTGTTGTGCCTGTGACATATATAAGGGTACAGAATTGCTCCTACAAGGCTGAGTTATATTGCCTTTTCTAAAATTGCTAGACCCCTTTAAAATCTGGTTGATTGGTTAAATTAATCGGTTTAAATATGTTACGTACTTAGTTATCAGGTGTGAATTATTTTCTGGAGCAAAAAAACAAAATTTAAAGTTTTTAGAAACTTGGCCTGTCATCTAATACATTATTGGGATCTCTTACTGATAAGGTTTGCACAGGAAATGTAAAATAATTTTTTAAAATTTAATCTTTATTCCATTTTTTCCATTACCATTTAGTCCCCTTACACCTCCGTCCCCCCAGCAATCACCACCCTGCTGTCTGTGTCCATGAGTCCTTTTTCCTTTTTGCTTAGTCTCTCCACCTGCCCCCACCCCCCAGCTGTCATCCAAAGTCATTTTTCATTTGGACTAAGTGAAAGAAAGAAAGGAATGAAAAGAGGTGGGAAGGGAGGGAGGGAGGGAAGGAAAGAAGAGAGGGAGGAAAGGAGGGAGGAAAAGATAAAGAAAATGAAGATAAACAGCCTGCCATCATCATTCCATATTCAAATGTAAAGAGTTATTTAGTGTTCCTTTGATGTGATATGACAACACTCCTCTTTTTATAAAATAATCTAGAGTTGAAAACCATAGTTTTTCCCAAGTTCTGCCACTAGTTGTGAGACCTAGGTCAATAAATGTAGCCTTCCTGAGCTTTGCCTGTAAGATAGAATCTCATCTGCGTTGTGAGGCTCAGCGGAGGAAATGCATGCACAGTATCTCAAACGTAGTAACCCTTCCGTGAAAGGTAGCGGCTGCTGCTCTGCCACTCTGAGGGTCCACAGGGTTCGGGGGTGCCAAGAAAATCGGCCCTTGGGGAGAGATTGGAAGGTTTAAAAGCCTAGAATTACGTACATCGGGATAGTTTTTTGATTTTTGGCAAAAGAATGGAATAAAATGGTAACATCCTTTTCCTGGCTCGCTCTTTTCACTTAAAGACCTTTAAGATTTGTATTGGCCTCAAATGGCAGAGAGCTTCCCTTGTCAGACATGGATTTTTCTGAGAAAGACTGCAATTAAATTGTAAGAAATCACTATTTTAAATGTTGGATCAATCTGTAAACTATTAAATGATTTTTATTCATCTCATTTAGGGAATGTTATTTGCATTATTATAAGTGGACATATTTTCATCTAGTAAAGCTCTTGTTACTGGGTTTTGATTCCTTACACACTTATCTTTCTGTTTTGGAAAATTAGTTAGATGTCAAAGATCCTTTGATTCAAAGCAGGGAACTTGGACAGTAGAATGTTTGTAGTCAAGATTCTCAGGTTAAAATTATTGCTCAAACTTTTCTTTATAGAACAACATAAAGTAGATAGAGTGTCAATTCATGAACCTTTAACAAGAATTATTAACAGGTTACCATGTGCCAAGCCTTGTGCTAGATTCTGAGGAAATCAAGAATAAGATACTGTCCTTTCTGTGGAAGGATTGTCAACTGAATTGAGGGATGAGACTTGGTGGGGAGAGGTCTATAAATGGATAAATTAGAATGTAAGAGGACAAATACTCTACCTGAAATGTGAATAAAAGGGTTTGGAGCATTGGAGATAGAACATCTGACCGCCTGGGTAAGGCGGGAGACGATATGCCTTAGAAGAGGTGATGCTTGAACTAAGTGGGAGTTTGTCAGGCAAAAAAGTAAAAGATGTGCATTCAGACACCCAATTTTTATTATAGTATATGGATGATTAAAAAAAAAATCTTCCATGCTTAAAAATAGTTACTAGCCATTAAGATGATGATTCTGATAGAATCTCTGTGCATAGAAGCATAGCTAAAACGTGATCATCACTGTTTTCACCTTGCACATAATTCTTTTTACTACGTTTTTGAGTATATGGCTAATTTTATATCTAATTTAGAAAGTGACCTGTAAATATACATTGAATGTAATACTGATGCTTGTAATAACTGGTTAAATTAAGGACTCATCAAATTTGATTCTCTTGAAATCTAAATGTAAAAGGAAGCAAGGTATAGGTGATGGCAAAAATAAAAATTAAATCAGGAACAGTTATTAGATATTTCTCATTAAAATTATAAAAATTCTGAATTTTATCTTAAAGGTTTGTTTTTTACCATAGCAATTGTGTTTTGTTCGTTTTAAATGTCTTTTTGAGTGTTTGTGTGAAGGATAGTAATGAATGTTTTAAAATTGTTTTTTAGAAACATTTTTACAGATTTTTATACATTATCCTTTTAGAATAAGACTAATTTTGTACAAACAGAAGTCATAACTTTCCCTTCCCACCCCAAACAGAAAAATGATGAGCAGTTTCAGTTCTAATAAACAAACTTAAAACATTTCTTTTTTTCCTAATAAAATGTTATTTAGCTAAAATTAATTTGTGTTGATTGGTCTTGAAATACAATTTAGAGAGGTACTTTGTAGCAATAAAATAATTTAGTGCGTTGTGCGTAGAGGTACTCAAAAGCCAGAGTTTTCAAATAATCATAAACCCAAACTTGGTAGCCTATATGTATCATTTGTAAATTTGTGTTTGTCACTAGAAGCTAGGTCTCTAACCTAATTTTTACTAAAGTTTTATAAATTGGTATAATAATAATAAAAGCTAACATTTATTGAGCTCTTACTCTGCTAGACACTGTTCCTACTGTTTTAGGTGAACTTGATTTGTTCTCACAGGCTTCCTGTTCTCTTACCTGTTCTCTGAAGAGGAAGCTGAGGCATAGGGTGGTGAAGTAAGATGGCCAAGGCCATGGCAGCTTAAGTGAGAGTCACCAAGGCTCATAATTTCTGTACGTTCCTGACTCTCGGCGTACTTAGCTTTCATCGTCTAGTACAGTTTAAAGTAGAGAAGGTCAGTAAGTCAAAGTAAAGGATCTTCAGTCCGATAGTGGTTCAAACTTGAGTTGTGCTGACCTGCAGAGATTATGCTTTGTGGGGCTGAGAACGTGTGTTTTTAATGAGCGCGCACGCGGTTCTGACCACACTTTGGGGTACACTGATGTGGTTGGAATAGCGTCCTCACAATTCATTTCACATGACGGCTTGTTGTTGTTTGTTTGCTTATGCTAGGCCATGCTTGGCAAATGTCTGTGCTTAGGGTGAGTCTCCTGAATACATGCTTTATCTAAACTTACACCTCAAGTGCCTGCACTGCTACCTAATCACGTATCTTGTGTAGATAACGAATAAAAGGCCAGCATCAAAGGGATTTTTAAAAAGCATGTTGAGTGAGCTTCAGAATAGGGTATGTTTGATCTGAGAAAATTGTTAAGATGATTATGAGGTCTACACACAGAAGAACATAAGCATGACATAAAATTTCTACCCTAATGGGTTTTTGTTTTACTTGTTTTTTGTTTAGGAGAAAATATGTATTTACATTGCTCTTCACAGTAGAGCGATAGTTTCATGATTTGGGTTATCCTGAATATTAACTGTAGGAAAGGAGGGGCCTTTTAAGTTCGGTAAGAAACTTTCACCCATTTGACTATCAAGAACCCTGATTATGTATGTTTTAGAATATAGGGAAAACACAAAGCTTGTAGTTTTACTACTTCAGTATCCTAATTGTATATTGAACTGGGAAAAATATGTTTTTCTTTCTTTTAGGAACTTACAAGTCACATTGAGCCGAGAAACGTCCAGTGTTTTCTCCAGCTACAAACAAAATGAATATTCCCGTGCTGCTACAACATCCTCACCAGCATTTCCTAAAAGGCCTTTTGAGAACACCTTTCCGACGTTACCACTTCATCTTCCACTCAAGTGCTCATCTCAGGTCAGGGAGTCCATGTGCTCGGCCATTGGACTCCCTGGGACTCCATTGTACAAAGTGGATGCTGCTGTCAAATGGTTTAAAGAGACCATTATGCGTACAAACAACCTTAAAGGGACACACAGAAGGACTTTCTGATAAAGAACAAAGATTTGTGGATAAACTTTATACGGGTTTAATCCAAGGGCAAAGGGCCTGCTTAGCAGAGGCCATAACTCTTATAGAATCAACTCACAAAAGGAAAAAAGAGTTAGCCCAGGTGCTTCTTCAGAAAGTACTGATCTACCACAGAGAGCAAGAGCGATTAAATAAAGGAAAACCACGAGCATTTCGAGTGGGTCAGTCTTTTTTTTTTTTTTTTTTAATGTCCAGGAAATGTTTTAAAAAAAATTCTCTTTAAAAAAAAAATCGTCGAAATGGTTTGCATTGTAATGGGGATTTACTTTTCTTTCAGAATTTTGTGATGAATTTTAAATGCTTTTTCATTGTAAATATTAGTCTTGGTATATTGAGAAAAGATGCCTGACCATTTGAATCAAGGCTCTGTATTTTAAAGGAACAATGTAAGATTTCTACTGGCAAGAATCTTGCTATGGCTCCCAGAACAGAAGTATGAATAGGAAGAGCTGTTGACCAGTTTACTCCTTTCTCTCAGTAGTCATTTGATTTACTAGTCTAAAGTGAATACCCAGTTTTTGTGGTTAACTCAACTATAATTATGCTTGTCATATTTTAGAATTCTCCTTCTTGTGTTGTTTCATTTGTCTTTCTAGAGATAAGTCTTCCTTATTTCAGGTACTTTTTGTTAGAGTTACTTGAAGTGGTTTGGCTCCAAGCACAGCCATCTCGATACCAAAATGTAAAGGAGAGACCATATTCATCTGCTGTCTAAAAATATTAGATGTTCACTTCATTTCTTAAACAATTGACTCATTTCTGTAATTGCATATAAGCTTGTTTCCTTCCTTCCTTCCTACCTTCCTTCCTTCCTACCTTCCTTCCTTTTATTCACTAAATGTATTTTTTTATTTAAATGTAGTTGGTTTACAATCTTATAGTGTTTATATTAGTTTCAGGCGTCCAGTATAGTGATTTGACATTTTTATACCTTACATTGTGATCGCCCTACTAATTCTAGTAAGCATCTGTTGCCGCGTAAACTTACTACATTATTATTGACTATATTCCCCTTTGCCCTTTCACTCACCCTCTCCCTTCTGGTAACCATCCCTGTGGTCTCTATTTTTCTGTGTTTTTGTTTGGTATGGTTTCCTTTGTTTTGTCTTTTAGATTCTACATACAAGTGAAACCATATGGTGTTTGTCTTTCCTTGCCTGACTTATTTCACTTAGCATAATGCCCTCTGCCTTTCTAAAGACAAACTCTTTTTTCTAAGATTCAGGTTATATTCTTTGAGTTACAGGCGAGATGAAAAATATCTTTTATAAATAGGAAATTATTTTCCCTATCGCTAGCAGCTTCTAGAGCAATGAGTTATTTTTTCCAAGGGGAGGACGACGCGCACAGAAATGGCGTAGGCGGGACAATCGCTGACCCTGATGAGAGGTGGGCAGGCGCTGTAGAAGTCCAGCACATTAACAACACAGGCAATGAAATCTGCCCCAAAAGGCCTATGTTATAGTGAAAAAGGGAAATCACAGTTTGTAATTTAAAAAAGTGAATTTGGTGAACATATGGAACTCAGAATTGCTTCCTTCCTATATCTCTATTACGCAGATACTAGATAAACAAATGGATTTTCGCTTACTGCTTTCGGAAATGTTAAAATACAATCATGATGGTTTTAATAAATTAGGAGAAACAGAAGGAAGTCTAATATTTTAATAGAACTCATCATTTATTTCATTAAATCAGAAGATCTCTTTCACTATAGGATTGTCTGGGCCCCCTGGTGCTGGAAAATCAACCTTCATAGAATATTTTGGAAAAATGCTTACCGAGAGGGGGCACAAGCTCTCCGTGCTGGCCGTGGACCCCTCTTCTTGTGCTAGTGGTGGTGAGTATTGCGGAGTCTCAAACAGCAGAGCAGGCGTGGCTGGGCTCTCCTTTACAGTTTGGTGGGAATATACAGTCAGGTGACTTCTGGCCAAGTGTGGCCTCACCGAGGGAGGAGGAGCTCTGGGGGGGCCAGGTGGAGGCTGAGGGAGGGAGTTTGGGGGATTGGGCTCTACAGGCAGGATTAGCCCAGGATCAAGGAGCGGCCTGGGCACTTTGAGTGCTAGGAGAACATGGCCAGAAGTCGAAAATGATTAAAAGCAAGTTTCATCCCTTTGTCTGTCACGCCTGAGGGTGGGTCCCCTTCCCCCCTTCCCCCCTTCCCCCCTTCCCTCCTGCCTTTGCCTGCTACAGGCAGCCACTGCGCGAGGAAGGTACTGTATTGTCTAACGGTGAGCTGGACCCAGTCCTCAGGCCTTACGGAGCTTCATGCTGTATGAGGGAAACACGGCCATTGCAGAGTCATGTGTGTTGTGAAAGGGGAAGTACAGCGCGCTTTGTGGAAGCGTTTGGTTTGTGTACTGTGGGTCTAAGGCTAAAGTGTAAAGATGATATAATCCTGTTTCTGGGTCTTTAGGTTCATAGAGAGGTGGATGGAATTCCTGTTACCACCCATTGAGAAATTTACCTGAGGACATTCACAGTTTTTGATTCACTATAATAAAAATTCACTAAAGTAAAATTTATATTTACAAGGTTCAAGATTAAATTCAATTAATATAGTGCCTTATTTACACTCTAAGAACTTTGTTAAAGGTGCATACCTCAACAAATAATTTATAGTGGCCCTCATTTCCATATTGGTGAGAAGGTTTTTTCCTCCTGCACCTTGATAATAAATATTCTAGAATACTTGCATACTTGCAGTAGCAAAAGAAAATAATAGCTTGAAGTAATACTAGCAGAAATGGTGATCAAGAGAGTCTGATTTCAAGTTGCAGAGCTGTGTGGTTCCTGAACTTTCTCAAACCGAAAATGAGGTTCCCTTTCTCAGGTAAAACAAAATACAGACTTTGAAAGAAAAAAGCGCATAAGGATAAACAGGGCACTCTAGTATACACATTTGAAAAATGGTACTACATTAAGGTTTAAGAAGCAAACCTGTGCTTTGCATGCACAGATCCCCTGCAGTAGCTTTGAGACTAAGGGCCTGCACCCAACAGTTTTGGATTCACTGGTAAAGACAATTACATGGGAGAGTAATTTCCTAATGTGTGGTTCAGTGTGTTAGAGTCTATAGGAGAATAATTTCAAGTATAGTTTTGGCAGATTGTTGACTTATACAGAGATGATTTCATGCAGAAAATTACTTTAGAAAGAAGTTTTAAGTGCAGTAATTGAGGTAGTTGAGATATGTGGTGTATTTATGCTCCAGAATTAGTATCTACGAGAAGTCTGAACTGGGAAAAGAGCATGTCTTTAAGGAACTTCTCAATGGTTAGTATCAACTTTATGTGGAAAAGTTAGCTCTTAGGCAGAGTGAAAATTAAACTTCAGGTTAAAACAGCACTATACTTACAAATGCTAATACATGGCCAAAGGTGATTTCAGAAGTTCTAGGGCTTTCAGTCTTCCAGAATTTGCAAATATTGATGTTTCCCAAAATACTGCCATAAGCCCTGAAACATGACCATAGGCGCTCAGATACTCGCCTGCTGTGAACGAGCATTCAGCACACAGCATGTGTAAGGCATGGTCCTATAGGCAAGGGACTTCGCTTAGAGCAGGGCTTCTCCGCCTTGGCCCTGGTGGCATCCCTGTTGTCATGCACGTGGAAGGATGGTTAGCAACATCCTAGCCTCTGCCCGCCGGGAGCCACCAACACCCTATCCCCCAGTTGTGACAAGTGGAATATCTCTAGGTATTGCCAGATTTCCCCTGGGGCAGTGCCACCCCAGCGCAGAGATGTTAGAACGATAAGCACAGTAAGGTTAAGGTGACAGTAAAGAAACCCCCCTGGCTGGAGTGCAAGATTGGTTTGGGGACTAGTGGTTGGCAACTGGACAGGCTAGGTAGGGCTGGGGAAGCTAGATTTGAACCTCTAGTCATTGGGAAGCCATTACAGGTTTTGAGGGGCTGAAATGCTAAGAAAAAAAAAAAAACAAGCTTAATTTGGTATCATTGTGTATACTCGGTGGGTGAAAAACTCAATAATCTGAAATACAATTTGAGATTTTGGGAGAAATGTCATAAAACGCTTTCCCTAGGACCTGGCTAATTGATAATTGGCCCTTATAGGTGTTCCATGATTATAAAATGTAACTGTGCGTTTTAGGATCACTCTTGGGTGATAAAACCCGAATGACTGAGTTATCAAGAGATATGAATGCCTACATCAGGCCATCTCCCACTAGAGGTACTCTAGGAGGGGTGACAAGGACCACCAATGAAGCTATTCTGCTGTGTGAAGGAGGGGGCTACGACATCATTCTCATTGAGACTGTAGGTGAGTGTGACCTGCGTCATAACAAAATCCTGTTCTAATGCACTGTGTGTACACATGAGTGACAGCTAATTTCATCTGTTCATTCAGCAGATATTACTAAAGGTATAATTAAATACATGATATCTTAGACTCTCTAGGAGATTTGAGTACATACGCTATAATCCTGCCCTTTAAGAGAGGAAAAATAAGCCATGCCTTTGGATAACTGTTACACAAGGCGATGCGCCATAAGTACCAGAGGAGACCGCTAAGCACCTGAATGACCTACAGAAACAGTACTTTAGCATACACCTGTTTGGCTTAAACACATTTCATGTCTGCAGTGTTTGCTAAGACAATTAATGTAGTTGGGTGCCCCTTGAAAACAGGACCACGTTTATTGCATTTTTATATCCCTATTGCATAATCACATGTGATGAAAATACTGAAATGGAAACCCAAGAAATTCACATTCCTGTGGAGAAACAGTAAGTTATGTTACTGAATGATAATTGTTTGTGACACAACCTGAATCAGCTTTAGGGTATCAAGGAAGACTTCCAGGAGGTGACAGTTGAACTCAGTTTTGAAGGAAGAATCGGAGTTACATGAAGTATGGGATTATGGGCGTTTGCAAAGACGCAGGCATGAGGGAGCAGGGCCTGTTCAGAGGACTGAAGTGTGCTCAGGACACAGAGCAGGAGTGTGAAGGCAGGGGGTGAGAGAGATGGGACTGGAGGCCAGGAGCCCCACCAGCTAAGAGCGATGGAGGGAGAGTTGTCCGAGCGGTGGCAGGAGAATCGAGGGTGAGTAGAGCCATAAACACCAAGTACCTAGAAGTTGCATTTGACCGCTTGTCCCAGAGACGCAAATAACTGATTCAAACGAGAAAGAGGCTTATTTTTTGTAAATAAAAGAAGCTTAGAGGTCGGTGCCCTGAGCAGGCATGGGGGTTCTACCTTGCCCTCCATGTGCCAGGCTTCTCTCTCTCTCTGCTGTCATTAAAGATGGCTTGTGACTCTGTCACATCCTTAGTCGAGCAGAAGGAAGGAGATGGGAGAGGAGGGAGGGAGAAGGGCAGGCAGGAGAGTGTGCCTCCTGGCCAGGCGAGCCCTTTTTGAAGAAAACGCCTTTCCTGGGAACCCCATCTAATGGGCTGTTTCCAGTCGTTAATCATCTGTTCCTGAGAGGGGGTCTGGTGACCGCAGCCTTTCAGCTGGTACACTGATGCTCCTAATGACACTGGGGGGCTCAGCCGTGGTAGAGAAGAAGGAAAGAGCAAAAGCTGCATGGGCAGCTAGGAGCCCCTGCCACTCCGAGGGAGGAGAGGGGGCTTTAGGGGAGTGGGGGTGGCAGTCAGATTTAGGGGGGCTGAGCGATGGGAAGCAGTCACATGGAAGACAGTGAGTGCGTATTGCTTTTTTATAGAAACTTAGCTCTAAAGAGAAAGTGAGAAGTCTGGTGATGGTTGGAGGAGGTTGTGAGTTTGTGCTGGTTTTTACTTGTTTTGTTTGGTCTTCAGATGAGTAAGACATGAGTGCAGTTCGTGCAATGTGCTGAGGGACAAGCGCCTGTAGACAAAGGCGAGGTTAGAGACAATGCGGAGCGGGGCCCAGAGCACGGAAGGACCGCAGGGCAGCTTCAGCCCGCACTGTAGCAGTGGGACTGGCGAGGAGGCGGGAGGGCAGAGCTTGGGTTCACGGTGCCGAGGCCATCACCAGGGGCCAGGTTATGGGACAGTGAGTGAGTGCAGGCCGCTGAGAAATGGGAGGGAAGCTGACCGAGGGCCCTTAGGGGCATTGCCTTTATAGGGCCCTGAGGAATTTGCAGTAGATGCCGGGAGCCCGTGATGCCACCGTGGTGCCTTAGATCGGCGCTTGAGCGGTCCGCGCAGTGTGCACGTAGAGGCCGGAGCACCGCAGAGCACAGCGCTGACCTGCGGGCGGGCGCGGGCTTGCAGGGCCGACGCGGAAGCGTGGCGCGGCAGGAAAGCGGAAGGTGTCATCCACGGGCACAGTCCGAGATGAGAGTCACAGCGCCCAAGCTGCTCGCTGATGGGTGGGAGCCAAGAGAGAGCTGCAGGAGTTAGGTGAGAGAGGAGGCCTTGAGGTTCTCATTCAGCCAAAGACTGAGACTGAGGGGAAGGACAGAGAGGGGTCTGCCCGTAGGCTGAGATAGTGGCGTTTCATTCTTTAGCGGCGGGGTGTTTAAAGTGGGGTCAGGTCGAGTGGGTGATTGAATGAGTGAACGAAATGGAATGGATATGATGGTCAATGTAGTTGAGAAAGTCAAATTACTGTGAATATTTTAGTGTGTAGTTGTGATTTAAAATTTCAGGTGTGGGTCAGTCGGAGTTTGCTGTTGCTGATATGGTTGACATGTTTGTTTTACTACTGCCACCAGCAGGAGGGGATGAATTGCAGGTAATTGTTTTGCCTTTTTCCTCCCCAAAATGCAAAGTATACACCTCTGAAAGTACAGATGTTATTTCAGATGTGTTTTTGTAAACTAAGTTGGTATCAGTGTAGGGAAAGAAACAGCAACATTCACATCGGCTAAAATACTTGTTGAAGGTATATTTTTCCCAGCTTACAGCGACAGGATTTATGACCTCAAGCCAGTGACTCCGCGTCGATTTGGCCACCTGTGACACGGAGTATTGGTGTGCGTGGGCGGCCCCAGCGGGGAGGGGCCCCGGTCGCCTGGGTCTCTGCAGGACAGCCGGTGGGGAAGTTCCGCAGAAGATACCCCTTTGTGTTACCTGGGACCCCACAGCCCTCGCCCCTGTCTTGCACAGTAGGGTTCGTGCTGTCCTCCCGCAGTGCCAGTCTGTCAGGGGCCGCCTGGAGTCAACAGCCTGCCCAGGCGGAGGGCCCTGCCCACCTCGTGACCGCCCTCACTCCAGACACCAGGCCAGCGGCGGGCTTGGGGGTTCCCAGGCCACCCGCAGCTCTGACCAGCTGGCCACCAGTGTGGGGGTTCCCGCAGGTTTGATAATGAACTGGAATGACTCACAGAACTCAGGGAAGCACTGTATTACAGGTACAGTTTTATTATACAAATGAGGACTAGCCAAATGAAGAGACATGTAGGGAGAGGCCTGGAAGGGTCCCAAACCTGAAGCTCCTCTGTCTTCAGGGCATGTTTCCCTCCTGGCACATCGATGCACATCCCCTGCCAGGGAGTTCGCCCGAGCTTCAGGGTCTGGAGTTCTTACTGAGTTTTCTTCACATGGACATGATTCACTGGGTCATTGTCCACATGACTGAACTCAGCCCCCCGCACCCGTTCCTGTCCCCGCCCCGCCCCTCCCCAGAGGTCAGGCTCCAGTCACATGGTTGGTCTTTCTGGTGCAGGCCGCTCCCATTCTGGACTCAGGGACAGGCCCAGGCGCCCATGGTGAATAATAAAGACACCCTGTCACTCAGGAAATTCCAAGAATTTAGAGGTTACTTCCCAGGAACCTTGGAAAAAGACCAGACGAATTCTTTGTTATACAAAGAATTTTAGTTCTAAAAATATAGTGACAGCAGACAATGGGTGCTGCAATTTAGAAATATTAACTATTAGAATTTAATCATTGAACGTTATGTTTCAGAGCATTTGAAAAGAAATCTTAATCTTAGGTGCAAAAATCTACATTTTCCAAATAAGGTTTGTCTTAGGATTGCTAGTGTTTTTATGCAACGTAATTTAAATCAAGAGATTGAGGCATTTTTAGCCATCAGGTTTTTTCCCTCAAAAGTAAATTGGAAAAAAAGAAAAAGCTATATACCAGTACATTTAAGGAAAACCTGCAAGACGTTTTTTCTAGATATGCAGAATGTGGTGATGGGTATGCTTTCTATTTAAGCGCCTTGCTGATGGGTGGTTTTGCATCTTGCACTGTTAGCTCATGAGAAGCAGAATCCATCATGGGGCTGTATGAGCCATCTCCTGCCACTCAGTCATGTTGTGTCTTGATGATACATTCACTCCAATTCTGAACGTATTTCAAGATGTTAGCCTCTAAATTTAGAAGAGATTTTCCAGATGATTTGCATAGTACCGGGAGATGGTGCTTTGGAGTAGTTTCTATTGAGTAATTGTGATCCCTGGTACCTCAGAGTACCAGCGAAAGACGCAGAGAAAACTTTAGTTAATGAAGTATATGACTTCCAAAATCTTAGCGTCGATTGGTGCCCCCCCCTTTTGTTGCTGTAATTAAATTAACTTAAATGGTTTTGATTAATCACTTTCTCCTTCCTTTCTCTTTAGGGTATCAAAAGAGGTATAATTGAGATGGCAGATCTGGTAGCTGTCACCAAATCTGACGGAGACCTGATAGTGCCGGCCCGCAGGATCCAAGCAGAGTACGTGAGCGCACTGAAGCTGCTCCGCAGGCGCTCGGAAGTCTGGAAGCCGAAGGTGGGCCGGTGCGCCAGCCCGCGCCTCTCGCCCTGAGTGCGCTCTGGGTACGGGGGATGGAAGTCCCGAGCCAGACGTAGACTCAGTCTTTGCTTGTATGAGAGATTACAATTTTAAGAATTACGACAAGGCCAGAGTATATAGTCATGATTTTAGATACAATCCTTCAACCTGCAGATGTCAAAACCGAGATGCGAGGTGATAGATTAGATCGCTTAATGGTGGGCTTCAGCCATTTGAAAGTGATAGCAAATCCCTTCTGGAAGGAGCCTCCTTAAGATTATGGAGCAATTAATGATTTGATTGTCTATAATAGGTTTGAATAAGAGAGCAAAGGCTCTTGAAGTGATTAACTTCCCATCAGGCTTGTTGGGTGCTGTTTCCAATAAGGGAGAAGAAGAAGAGTCCTGTAACAAGCCAGGCAATAATACTGACGTGGGCAGCGCCGTCCGCGGGAGGACACTGTCATTAAAAGCTGCGCTCTAATCGCTGTAACGAGAACAGTGATGGCATGCCCTGCGCTCCCAGTCTCCCCCAGGCACCTGGTCTGCTGGGTCCAGAGCCCTGTGTACGCGCAGGTGTGGGATGTTCGGCTCCCTGCACTTCCTGAATCAGGCAGCTGTGACCGAGCCTCTCACGTAGTTCCATTTTCTGGCATCAGACCTCAGAGAAACCTACCTAGCAGGGCCCTCCTCACCCTTGTGACCCTCTCACAGTTCCTCCACGAGGCCTCTGAAGACCACCTGAGCAATCCTAAATCCAGATCAATCTCTGGGCTAAAGAACTGGGCCTTGAATCAGTAATTCATTTCTGCTGTGCCCTCAGGAATCCTAGTAAGTTACCTCGGTGTATTACCTTGGACACAACAATGAAATGTCTCATTTTGCCGTTGCTAATTTCCTTCGACTGTAAGAATGAATTGGCAAGCATCAAAGTCCCCGGGAAAGCGTGTTCTGTCGTTGTACGTATCTCAGTGCTGGTTTCCCCCCTTTCAATAGGTGGTTCGTATTTCTGCCAGAAGCGGAGAGGGGATCACCGAAATGTGGGACAAGATGAGAGAGTTCCGGGAGCTGACGCTTGCCAGCGGGGAGCTGACCGCCCGGCGCCGGCAGCAGCAGAAGGTCTGGATGTGGAATCTCATCCAGGAGAGCGTGTTGGAGCACTTCAGGGCCCACCCCACGGTCCGGGAGCAGATTCCTCTGCTGGAGAGGAAGGTCCTCAGTGGGATTCTCCCCCCGGGACTGGCGGCGGACTTGCTGCTGAAAGCTTTTCAGGCCCAGACTAATGAGATGCATCCTATGCAGTAATTTTCCTTATCGCTTCCTAAAGTGTTTTCATATTGAAAGTCCCCCGTGTGCTTACATTTTTAGTAATGCTTTCAGGGCATCTGTGGCCTCCATCTTGGGGAGCCGTGCCTGCAGACTGGAAGAGCGTTAGATATGGATGGCAGAGGCGGGCAGTACTCGCGAGGCGCCTGCTGCCTCTTACTGGTTTCGGGCCTTTCTCTTTCTCTCTGTTCTCTGCCCCGGCACCATGGCCTGTAGAAGAGTTCTCAGCCGTCAGGAGCGGAGAAGGCTGAAGACAGCAGAAGATCAAGTACCTTAAAATGCTTCCCTTGATTCTCTGTCCTCTGGGAATTTTGAGGGACCATGTAAGCAAGAGTCACCACGTTTCGGAAGCCTCACATGAGGCCAGAATCACGCACGGTGAGGCTCTGAGAGCTGAAAGCCATGACTGAGGGTTCCAGGCATTTCTGAGATGGCCATCCATGTCCACGAGCAACAGAACAGCTGGAAGGTGTAGGGGTGTGAACACAACGTTAAAGTTTCCTTACCTGTAAAATTAGGAGAAGGAAAGCTACTTTATTGGGTTGTTGGAATAATTAAATGAGAAATTATAAAATGCTTCGCACTTAATAATTGGGTTAAGTGTTGTTAGAAATATTACACAGAGACATGAGATATAAATAAATATGTGTTACTGATATGCTGAAAGGTGTGAGCTTCATGGAAAGGGTTAATTAACCTTTAACCTAATTACTGGTAACACTGAAACCCACAAGTGGGGTTTATGCAGTCACCAGGGCCTTCTGGCCCCAATTTCCTCTCCTTATCTTACAGCTCTCGCCCCCACTTTAACACTTCATAGTTTCTTGGTTCCTAATTTTAAATCCCTGACAGAATTACGATTGACTTGTTCAACTTTGGGAGGCACTAGAGGCCCCCGAGTGAAACCTCTGGGTGGGTCACCCAGAATCAGTTGCCCACCTCAACTGATTTCAGGGGTGGGATAAAGTATAGACATGGTTCCTTCTTAGTCAGCAGGAACAGTTTGTAAGGCCCTGTTTCGTCAGGTTCGTGGGCAGGACAGGCAGTGATGTGTACTCCCACCACAGAACAAATTCTTAGGTAGAAAAAATGAGTTTCGGAGAGGTGAAGCGATTTGCTTAAGCAGCCATTATGACTCGGACTCGAACCCACCTCTCCTACCTTTTTACTCAGTGATCTCTCTATTATGTGGGTTAGAAACCAGCTCTTAGGAAAAATGTATTACCTGTTGACCATAAATTTTTAAATTGTTCCTGCTCTCCCTTTTTTTTTTTCTTTAAGAGTTTATTTATTTATTTTTAGAGAGAGGGGAAGGGAGGGAGAAAGAGGGAGAGAAACATCAATGTGTGGTTGCCTCTTGAGCACCCCCTACTGGGGACCTGGCCTGCAGCCCAGGCATGTGCCCTGATTGGGAATCAAACTGGTGACCCTTTGGTTCACAGGCCGGTGCTCAATCCACTGAGCCACACCAGCAAGGGCTCTTGCTGTTCCTTAGAAGGTTATCAGGCTGTTTAATTCTAGAGATGTCATTGTTTACTAGAGATCTGCTACACACACTACATCTTTATTTAGGATAAGAACTTGAGAAATCACACCACCTCTTGATTAAAACCAGTAATGTTGCTGGTTCCAGAAACTTCCTTCCCATTAGCTCCAGTCACTTGGGGCTCTTGGAATCGTAGAGGCCACAGACCACTGTGCACAGTGAATTGCAGAACATCAGCGTCACTGCTGTGGTTTGAATTCGGTCCACCTAAAAGGATAAATTGAAGTCCTAATCCACAGTCTCTCAGAATGCGCTCTTATTTGGCAATAAGGTCGTTGCAGATGTGATTAGCTAAGATGAGGTCATGCTGGAGTAGGATGGGCCTCAATCCAGCATGACTGATGTCCTTGTCAGAAGACAGTCATGGGAAGGCAAAGATGCAGGGAGACCACTGTGGAGATGAAGACAGCGACTGGAGTGAGGCAGCTTCATGCCACAGGATGCCAAAGGCGGCTGGAAAACCACGGAATTGAGGAAGAGGTGAGGAAGGGTCCTCCCACACGTTTCAGAGGGAGCATGGGCCCTCCGATGCCTCGACTGCAGAGCAGACAGCTGGACTCCAGAACGGCGAGACGATGCACTTCTCTTGTTTTAAGCCGCCCAGTTGGTGGTGCTTCCTAACAGCAGCCCTGGGAAACACGTCAACCCCGATCTGAGCCTGACTCAAAGGCGGAAATTCTCCCGAGATTTTATCACACTCCTCCCCACCCAAATTGAGAATATAGTCTTTGACTTCCCAATTCTGCCTTCCCTTGGGACCTTCCAAACCCATAAAATAAAAGGAACACAAGAGAGTCCTCATGTTTCTGTTGACAAAGTACTGTACCCTGCTTTTACTGATATCCCACAATTCAGTATTGGGCTTTGACTACCCCAAAGGATGTGAATTTTTCAAGTCTGGGGGACTGGGTTTCTATAAGAGGGATTCTGGAAATTACGGAGACATTCTAAGGCAACTAGCCTTGAGCCACAGAGAAGCCATCATGAACTGTCTGGCCACTCCAGGCTTTCCTGCCTTGAGGAGCTAATGTCTGATGCCCACCAGAGATTAGAGGAGGGTAGAGTATATAGAACATGTTCTGCCCTTACAATGCTCCCTTTGGGTTATTCAACTTTATGATGTCTATTAGTCTTCTCCGGCATCAAGCCCTATCATATGGTATTTGCAATATGAATTTTTAGCTCAAAATAATTTAGCCTTAATCGTGCTAAAAAATACATAGTAGGCATTTGTAACTCAGAACAAAAGTTTCTTCCTTGTATATGGTATATCTACTTTGTAATATTTAGAAAGTGTACCCAATTAGATTGTACTCTGTTAATCTTTCCTTTTTCACACAGTCCCCTACTTAAAGGCGGGTGGCAGGAAAAATGCCACAGAAATAACATATCATCATTGTATTTCTTGGGAGTAGAGCAATATGGCTCAGAATAATAAATAGTGTTGTTCAGTGACCCAGAATAGATGCACAATAAATATTTATGGAATGAATGGATGAATGAACAAATTCTGAGCAAAGCTTATACATGGCCACAGAGACAAAGCCACATATTGAAAAATCTCTAACAAAGAATGACAAATCAAAGGACTGGAATATATTGAATTAATCTTGTTCTCCAGAGTATTCTAAATTGCATTTGTTGGGATATCCACATTTCCATAGGACAAAATACTGTTGTGTCTCTCTAAGCTGAAAGCGTCCCTCACTATAACCCCAGAAACAGGTACATAAATACCTGTGCACATTATAAATCAATAAATCTGCCGCTGTGCCAATTTAGCATCCCAAGGAGGTGGGTGGAGTGTTAATCTAGGTTGTTATAGTATAGTCTGTTCCCAGGTCTTGTGCACACATTCCCCCTGCGCATCCCTAAACGTGTAGGCAAAACTTAGAAAAGTAAAACGTGGATTTGTATTCGACTAAGCCAGCAACTTAGGAAATGAACTCCATTGTTGAACAGGGAGAAATGAAGGGCCTGTCTGTTCAGTCCTAAAAAGACTTATCTTCCGGTCTTTGTTCACTGATATACGTGCATTAACTGACCAATTTAGCAACTTCATTTCATACCTGCCTTCTTCCCCCACCATGGCCTTCCAGGTAGGATTCAACTGTTTAAAGCTCTAAGGAGTTCATCTACTTATTGTTTATCTTCAAGCATTTAGAAACTATAACCTGCTAATGCTAGATTCTTCTCACAAAGAATGTTTTAAGACTCCCAGTTAGGAAATATGCATGGGTGATAACTTCTTAGAATCTCTCTTCTTAGGCTGGAGAACTGGGGTTGTGAGGGTTTTGCATGTCAGTATTTAATTGATGACATTTGATGGATGGTTTTTAAACTTGACTATAGGACCTTCAGAGTGTTGAATGATGTGTTTAGCGAAAGGCCATGCACTTACTTCCTTATAAACGAGGGCATGGGCAGAGATAGGCGAAGATAACAGATAAGAGAGTAAAGCAGGTTAACGGTGTGGGTTTAAATAATCTACAGAATCCAGACTGCAGTCACATTGAGCTTCAAATCCAGTTCTATTACTTCCTTAGTGGTGTGACTTTAGACAAACTTTGTGTGGATCAGTTTTCTCATCTGCAAAATGGGGGTAATAACAGTACCTTCCTCATAACATTGTTGTGAGGATTAAATAAATTAATACATGCAAGGACCTTGGAAAGTGTCTAGAACATAGAAGTATTTGCTTCTGTTATCACCAGTTGTTCTATTATTTTTACATGATTAAAGACTCAGAGTAAGCAAGAATAGACCTTTGAAGTACCTTTTAAAAGGAGATTCTTTCTCAAGGACTTTTGATTATCCTAATAAGGCACTCTATGTAACACTAAGACTGTTACACAGCAGAATTGTGCCGTGATGGCTAATTTTATAGCACAGGGAAGAGGGGCCGCTCAGCTGGTGGGTCCGCTTCCCCACCACTCTCCTCGGGTGAACAGAAGTCGGCTCTCGCTGCATGCTTTTGATTCCAGGAGGTACCGCTGAGACGTTCAGAAAGCCTTGCCCATTATTGTGACTCATTTTTTAGTTTGTTATGAGTCTTTTTGTATGTGTGACACAATTTGTGGGTTACCTCCTTGTGGTACCTATGAATAGACAGGGTTTCCTTGGAAAATGGCAACCATTACTTCAGGTTTTCTCACAGTGGGGTTCACTATAAACCTAATCTTTTTCTATTTCTATTTCCCTGTCTCCTATTTCCCATGCAATACACACGTACACACATGCACCCTTGAAAGAGCTGTATGCCTTGTGTTCTCCCCACCTCTGATAACTGGGTCCAGAGCCAGAGGGAGGGAAAGTTTAGGAAGCATCATATTTGATTGAGTTGATTTTCAATGTTTTTGCCCTAAAGGGTTTTGTGTGTGTGTGTTTGTTTTTAAGGCCTAGACTCTAGAGAAGTGGAAGAGAAAAATAATTGTAAACCTAAAAGAGAGTCTGCAAGATTAGGGGAATAGGTTATATATGGATACATCCCATTTGTTCTAGTTTTTGTAAAATAACATCGTGGCTCTGATTATGAGTTAAAATTCACTGTGAAATGCTTAGAAAATAAACATGTAAACTATAAAAATAGCATGTAAAAATGATATATAATCTGTAATAAGTATTAATATTTTTATATATAGCCTGCTAGACCTTTTCTTATAAATATATATGCCCATGTACTTCTTATTAAACAAAATTGGGATCACAGTACATGTAGTGTTTGAAATCAATTTCAGTTTTCAAATAGTAAAAATAACCAAAAAAATAAATTTCAGAAAGAAAAAAAAGAAAAACATCCTTCCTTTTAGGCTTCACCTAATTTTATCAGTTTCCTTTTCCTGTTCCTTTGTACTTTTACCCTCTTTATTTCTATCTAGTCCTGTTGCAACTGGTTCCTTGTTTCCTGTGTCCTTGAGACCATGAGCCACACAATTTTTGATAACTTACTAAAAATTTCTAAGTTACACAGTTGGTAAACATGAAGAAATTGTTCCAAGATCAAGGACTGAGCATTAATGTTATTATAACTGACAGACTCAAACAGTGATTAACTACAACACATTTTGCATGCTCATTCGGCTGTTGGCCACATTTACCCAAAAAGCAGAATTTGGCACCTTGTGGGAGGAGACAGATTCTTGCTTGAGATGGAAGCTTCAGCTTCATATTGGATCTTTTTGCCCAGGGGAATTCTGCTTTTTCTGGCCTTTCTGTTACTTGCTTTCCTCCTAGGTTTCATCTTGAAATGGCATTGGGAAGTTTCTGCCTTCTCAGAACGCAGCCTGACCTATCAAGTCTGTGGTGACAGAAATTGAAATAGTGGTCACCTCTGCGTATGTGTGTGCACGTGCTATTTTGACTGGGAAGGGGCCAGCGTGATACATCTGGGTAGTAGCTGCGTGGATGAGCACACATATGAAGTATATTTGTGTACTTCACTGTTTGATGTTACGTCTCAATTAAAAAAGAAAAACCAACGAAAACAAACTGTTGCTTGATCCATCTTCTTTCCAGTCTGTGTCCGTAGTTGTGGCTGGGTATCTAGTCAAGATCTGGTAAATTCCAGAGACTACAGAGCAGCCATTGTCTCAGCGGTGAAGACCTCAGCCTTTTCAGCTCCTGGGCTGGTCCATAGAACAGCAATATCCTGAGATGCCCCTCACCCTACAAAGGGAGGTTGTGGTCAAATTAGAGTAGGAAATGCTGCACTGTTTACATCCCTTTGAAAGATTCACAGTGCGTTTTGAAATATTAAAGGTTCAAAGTCCTGCAGCAAAGAAACATGTTTATCCCAACCTGTCCAGAACTTACTTAACCCTGAGACTCTTAATTAATATCTATTAACACCTTGTTAGAATAATCAGCTTGTGTTGAGAGAGAAGTCTGGTCAAGGCTTGACCCCTTCCTCCCAGTCAGGTGATAGGTACGCCACCTGCTGGTTTTATTGGGTATAAGGTCACTCACCCAGGAAGCTGCTATTTTCATTAAACTGCGCTCACAATCCAGAGTTCCTTGTCAAGGTTTTTTTTCCCCTCACATTTAACACAGCAGGGACTGAGCGACATAACTTGCCATAATTCAGTTACAAAAGGAAGTTTTCAGTGCAGACTCAACCTGGACGTCAGATCATACAAATCAGCACTGCGTACCGGTGTCCAAGACGCGAGAGTGAAGCATCTGACAAAGTGAGGACAAAGAATCAGTGCAGAGGCCTTCAGAATTCTAGGGCTTTATAGATTATTCTACTTATTCTCTAATTGAAAGTCAATGTACTTTAGCAGACTTGCTCAATATCTAATAAATTGATGGACAAAACTATAATTTCATCTAAACCCACTATTAGACATTCTCACTTAAATTTTACTACTCTTGATTCTTGAGGTTATGGTTGTTAAAATGATATCATAATTGATTTTGGGGAAAGAAAGAAAACTACTGTAAAGGACCAGAAATATGATAAGTTATAGTTAAGTACACTTATACCATAATTTATTTTATAAAGAGTTTATTTTATGACATTTTATAGACTACCCCACAATATATTGAAATAAGAAAGTTTTAAAATATTTCCTACAAATAATCTCTCACACTGTGTTCTATTTATTTTCCTGTCTCAAAACAATATATATGTTGCTAGCAGAGATTTCTATGAAAACACCATTTTGGGGGCCAGCATTGCTAAAGTTTTAAGTATCTAAGCAATTGCTAGCTGACACTGGGTGGGCCAGCATGATTTGGGCAGTCCAGTTTTTATTCCCCTCTTTTATTCTTTATCTGCATCTTCTCATCACAGCCAGATGTCTCCCAAAAGATCTCTAAAGAAATCTCTGTCTTCAACTCCATGAGAAAAAGCAGCTGGGTCCACAAACATCTGCCTAATCCTTGTAGGACAAAGGTGCTGTGGTCCACATTTCAAAGTTTTAAGGAAAGAAACTCCTAATTTTAAATACTAATAATTATTTGCAAATAACGTTCTCAAAGAAACATACCCTATGGTGTGTCAGCCTCACGTTAAAAGACAGTTTAGATTTAGTTCCCGGAGCAAGTATTCCTAGTCTTCAGAAATCAATTGCATCAGAATCATCTAACAATATGAACAGGTTGATTTCTGGGCTTTTCCTCAGACCTACAGTTTTTGAAGTTTGTGACGGTAGGGCTTAGTCCTCTGCATGTTTAACGTGCCCCATAGGTGCTGCTCCAATCACCTATGGAGATTCTTTTTTTTTCTTTTCTTTTTTTTCAGTGCTGTTGGGGGATCCACTCACAGAATGGCTGATCAAGGGGAGGTATGACATCTGTATTTATAAAGAATTCCACAGGGTATGTGCGTAAGTACAAGGGTTGAGAACTACCACTCCAAGAGTTGATTAAAGAAAGGAGGAATGTTGAAAGATCTCTGTCTGTTTGCCAATGGATTGTTTGTGAATGCAGAGAAAGGCAGGTGAACATATTAACCAGATTTAATCATTAGTGAAGGATGCAGGAAATCATGTGAGTAAAAGATGGAATGCTATGACTTCTCAACCTAAACAAGGTTCACAGTGACATTTCAATGACCTTAATTCTTAACCCTGGCTGCTCTTTAGAAATCTGCAGCAGTGAACTTTTAAAAAATACCAACGCCTGGGCCCTATTCCAGACCAATTAGATCAGAATCTTTGGGAGCAGGGCGGGGTGGCGGTGAGGCCTGGGCTGTCACCCTGTGCAGCTAGCTTAGGCACCATTGCTCATAGAACAGTTTGAGTCACCTGCTATTGTTGATGTCACAAGCAGCTCATGTTTTCCCCTGGAACTTTGGAGGCCAGTCTTTAAAGGAAACGAGTGCTTCGCACTGTCCTATCATCTCGCGTTTCCACCTCTTACACTGACCGTCATTAGGATTCACCATTTCATTATAAAAGCGATTGCCATCTGCTTTCTTGCCCTAATTTGTAGCTGTATATTGCTTAGACCAAAGGCCAGGAAGTTATACAACTTATGCATTTGCTAGTTAAAACTGGGTTGGGGGGTGGGGGCAGGAAGGAGGTGGTATTTGTGGAATTTTGTGATCTGTTGCTTGGCAACTTTGAGGAGCCCAGTCAATTACTTTCTTGCTACGAAAAGGAAATGCATTCTTCATTGTGCGGAGGGCTTGAAAGGTGACCAGAGCCGGCCATCCATAGCCATGTCACACTTCTTCTATTTGACTCCCCAGATCCTTCTGCCCTTTAGCCCCCTGACCTCTCAGGAGTTCGATCTGATCAGACGCAAGGCTGGCGCGTCTTGGCAGAATGAAGCAAGATGGTCAGCTGCTTCCTTAACGACATACGCGGGCAGTTACCGGAGAAAAGAGCTGGAGGAACCCGCAGGCCGCCGACCTTCTTCGGAAGCAGGACAGCCCCGGCCCGAGCGTCCCCAGTAAGATCTCTTTGTCATTTGCACCTGGACATAGCGCTATAAATAGACAAGAATGCTATTAGAGAAAGAGGGTATTGTAAACCCGGAGAGACTTCCGAGGCTTAACTCTGCATATTTTCCTGCTGTAAATGTCAGCGGGAAAAAGAGTGAAATGTCAGTTATCAGCTGAAATGATGATTGTCTTCTCTTGAGGGCTCGTAAAATTATAACTACGTACCCTTGAAAGCATAAAACTATGAGTATTTGATTAAACTGTAGATATTTTGTGTTCTCTACTCAGCAAAGAGGCACTCCTGAGCCTTTCACTGTGTTTCTTGTCTAGTTTTTCCACTTTTAGCTGAAAAAAACAAAAGCAAAAACAAAAAAACAAACAAACAAACAAAAAGAAATAGAAGAAAAACTCCCCCAGAACAGGGAGAAAGCCTACCAAACCCCCCGCCTCGGAAGGTCTAGCCATGAAGGTGTCAGCGCCCGAAAGGCAGTTTCTGAATGTTCACTGGAAGTCAAGCCCCACGTTAGGCGCACACAAAAAAATTAATTTCAGTTTAATATGGTAACTGAAACCACAGAAATAAGGAATCAGCACGAGGAGGGAGATGCTATCAGGGCCTGTGGGGTGGGGGAAGGGTGCTGCGAGAAAAGACCTGCGGCAGCCGGTTTCCTCCTCCGCGGGACCCGCCTGAGAAGGAGGGAGGCTGCGGAGGAAAAGCCGGGTCGGCCCGCAGCGCTATCAGAGGACTGCAGAGAAGGTCGGCGGGGACGTGGAAACACAGGAGGACTCCTGATGACATGTGGCCCCCCTGTATGTTAATTGTCAAATATCTTGTCCAAATTCTGGAAATCAATTTGAAAATCATTTGGATTATTGGCTCCGACTGGAGATGTGAGGACTAATTCAAATAATAGCCTAATAAATGTTACTTATATTGCCTTCCAGGGCTTTCCAAATGATCAAAACGGTGCCTAAAGCTAAGATGTCTCAGAAGTACTTTCCAATTGGGTGTGTTGTCTGGTTTAGTCCAACAAGCTGCAGTCTCAGTGTCTTTAAAAGCTCTCAACTATGTTGACACATCAATTAATCTGGGGAGTTCCTTTGCCAGTTCCGTGAATTTGAAGGCCTCTTGGCCAGATAGGGGGATCTTCAACTACAGCTGGGGTCGCCTCTGAAAGTAGTTTGAAAGCTGGTATCCAATCAGATCCACTCATCAGAGTAGGGAAGAATAGTTAACAACTAGAAAAATGCAGAAATATGGTATCTGGTGACCATGTACAGAACTTTGAGCTTGTTTCCTGTTGAGGGTATGATCATTGTGTAAATCAGTCTAACCAAGGCACCCTGCGATATTGCAAACCACAAAAGAGCACAGGCTGGTGACGCTTATCTTTTTTTTTTGGAACCTCAGAAATGTAAGTACATCCTTTGCGCAACTTCTGCCTATTCTATTACAGGCTGAGAAGCAGCAAGGGTTATCAGTGAAGGTGGAAGGCAGACTCAGCTCACTTTGAAAGTACTGGTTATGTTCTAAATTTGCTTTTGTTTTTCATCTTTTTCTTGGTTGATTTTATTATTTATTCATTTTTCTCTTTTTAAAATGCATTTTTTATTGAATTTATTGGGGTGACACTGGTTAATAAACTTATATAGGTTTCAGGTGTACAATTCTCTTGCACAATACATCATCTGTCTATTGTATTGTGTGTTTACCACCCCAAGTCAAATCTCCTTCTATTGCCATTGATCTCACCCCTGGTTAATTTTAGTGCCAAGGACAAATGTCTTAAGTTAGGAGCAAAAGCTCTTTGATTAAAATTTTGAAAGGCTATACAGAGATGTTTTTATGCTGCTATAAAAATCAAAATGGTCCAAGGGGGAATTCCTGAATGAAATACGGACTGACCGATCACTATAATGTGTCAAGTCAGGAAAATATTAAAGTAGGCAAAACATAATAATTTTTAGTCACCACATATTTTGAATACCCATATTGTGCAAGACAGAGAAAAGTTGGTCATTTGGTTCTGACTCAGATTTAACAGCAAATAGGTAAGATTCATAAACATGCGCAAAGGCAGCGCCCGCCTCAGGAGAGTGGAGGGGAGTGTGCACGGTCCTGAAGCTACTGTTGGCGCCCATTCCGGCGGCCTGCCAAGGTTAAAATAAGGGAAGAGTTGCGTTTTGGAATTCCTAAGACAAAAGTATGCCACAAGTATATGTTTTAAAGCCTTGATGCTTTGTTTATTTATGAAATTATTCATTCATTAATCAAATATTTTTTAAGATCCTATTTTGTGTCAGGTCTTTTAGGCTAATTGGATAGGAGTGATGGTCGCACAACACTGTGAATGTGCGTACTGCTACTACATTGTACAGTTAAACACGGCTGAAATGGTACATTTTATGTCATGTACATTTTATAATAGTAATTTGTGAGGGACAAGACTTCCAGAATAGAGGGAGGATATATACATCCTCCTCCATAAAAGCACAAAAACTCTGCAAAAAAACCCCTCAAAATCAACTCTTTCAAAACCGTAGAAATTAACCAAAGGTGTACAACAATCTGAGGAGTGTTTTCAAGGAAAACCACAAAACTTTGGTAAAAACAGCGGGGCTGTGGCATTGAAACTTGGCCACTCTCATCCCTTCAATAGTCCTTGAGAACATTGGTTCCTGCGGTTGGCTGGTCATGAGAATGATTTTGCTGAAAATCATGATCCTCAGGCCATTCCCCTCAGAAATCCTGATCGTGAGGCACCAGAGAATCTGTTTAACAAATGTTCCATGCGATTCTTAGGATTAGAAAACAATGGGAACTGCCACTTGGTAAGAGGTTGAAAAATCTCTTCTAGCAGCTTGGCCCCCTGGTACCAAACTTCCATGGAATATTTTTAGTTCCAGGTAGATTAATTCCAGATGAACTGAAGAGCTAAGTGTGAAAGGCAAACCAGCAAAGCCCCTACCTCGCACCCATGGTGGCGGGTCCTGGAGCTGGGAGACCCTGCCTTCCCCCGTCAGAGGCCTCGAGACAGCTGCCACTGGCGTGCTACACGCTAGACCTGGGGACTCTGTTCATCTTACGCAAAACGGCCTGCGCTTCCCGCCAGGCCCCCGGCTTGCTAAAAAAGAGCGTCAAATACGGATTCAGGGCAACTGAGCTTTAGATGTGTTCTGAGGGACAGACACACATCTGTATGTCCCCAAGTTACTCCACCGCTAGTATATTCTAAGTCTTCCTGGGAAACCCACGTAATTACTGTAATATTTTCTATTTCATTCATAGCCCTTATTTTGAAAACAACTCCCTAGAGAAAAGACTTATAATTCCTCTTAAAAACAATTATGAACTTAATGCTTGAGCTTTTCATGTACAAAAGTTGAACATGTTAGCCTTTTATGACAAATCAGGGAACAAACAAATCACTAAAGACAGTGAGAAGGTCCAGCTTGGGTTGATGTAATAGGGTGCAGGGTTATGGTTGGGGGTGTGGGAAGGGCAAGAGAGGAAGCAAAAGTTTAAGAAATTTGCCCCGGCTGGTGTGGCTCAGGGGGTTGAACGCCAGCCTGCAGACCAAAGGGTCACTGGTTCACTTCCCAGTCAGAGCACATGCCTGGGTTGCAGGCCAGGTCCCCAGTAGGCGGAACACGAGAGACAACCACGCACTGATGTTTCTCTCCTTCTCTTTCTCCCTCCCATCCCCTCTCCAAAAAATAAATAAAATCTTTTTTTTTTTAAAGAAAGAAATTAAATGAAAAGATGAGTGGAAATCCCTCTAAGTTCATAAGCTGTGACTCATAAACCCATAAACTTATAACTTGTTTCTTCCATTCGCTTTCTTCAGGATGTCATCGCCAAATGGCTCCGCCTTCACCCCGTCACTCTGCAGGGCTGGTCCCCAGGACACTGCAGGTGCTAGAGGTCAGTGCAGCCCCATTGGCTTGGAGCATCGCCCTTCTGGCAAGTTTGCTCTCAGGGTAACTTCTGGGTTCTTGATTTAAGTCCATGTGGTTTCCATTTGCCTACTACAGGCAAGGTATCGTTAGCAAGAAAATGAACATATTCTACTCTAGGTCTGTCACTCTTAAAGATGACAGTTATTTTAGGGCCAAGTTTTCCTTTTCCAGTTTACCCCAAATGTAACTCTGCCAGAGCCTCGAGTTCTGGTCGTGTAACCTGTGCTTTACTGGGTACATCAAAGAACTAAGAAGAGAAACCAAAGCTATAAGCCACCAGCTAGTAAATGACACTTGTTCATCTATAACCAGCTCCACCCTGTTTGGGTTAAATTAAGATAAGGCTGGCTGTTATAATAAGTAAACCTCCAAATTCCAGTTGCTTAACACAACAGAAGACATTTTTTCTTCATTTAAAGGCCAAGGTGGGGGTTTTGCAAGCAGACCTTCCACATGGTAATTTAAGGGCACAGACTTCCTTCACCTTGGGGTTCCCTATCCTCTGGGACCCCAGAGTCCTTTGTCTCCGTCAGGTGGAAATGACACCCATCTCTGAGGCTCACTCACATTCCAACTGGAGGAGTGGTCACCGGGCTGCACCCAGATGCCAAGGAGCTCAGAAATGGGCTGCTTGCTGGGCAGCCACTCCCTAGTACCAAGCCCCGCCCCCCACCCAGGAAGAAACACCTGGGCATCCTGCCATACGCTCCGATTTTGAGGCAGAAGCAACAGACTTTCCTGCTGTGATTTCCATCTCTCTAGGTTAACTCTTTGAAGGTTTAATAAGACCAATGTCGTCTCAAATTAGAATTGTTGAGCACTTTACGAAATTTCCTGGTCACACTCTCTGCTGTAGTATTTAGAGGTTTAAGACGTGCGTGTGCGCTGGCAGGTGGGAGGAGCCAGCCTGCAGCCCCGCGGGGTTTTCCGCTGCGAGGGAGACGAAGGTCTTTAACAGCTGCCTTGGACAATCACTATTCTGCTGGCTTTCCTCATAAAATTGGACTTTATGAGAGCAGTTTGTTTGAGATGAGTTTTATGTAGTCCTCTGGTTGTTGAGGCAAAAGGACAGGATAGCTGACCATTTGTGCAATTGTTAAAATCAAGAAAGACTTACTTTCTCCCCTCTGCAGTAATGAACATAAAATTGAAGCACACGACGTAGTTGGGAGAAAAGACTGAGCTGGGGCACAGGAAATTAAACAGCCTGATCACATCATTCAGCATAAGCTAAGGTGACAGGGCATCCGATCTGAGTAGCACAAAGTACAATCCTATTACATTTATATTCTATTTGTGCCCTTCAGAATTCTGATCAACTCACTAATCACCTCCGGCCTGGGGGACTGAGAGCTGAGCGGTCGGTCCATAGTCAGGTGGGTAGGATTGTTTCAAGGGTAGTAACTTGAGCAGTAAAAGCAATAATTTACCACTATGTGACAGGTATGACTTTGTTTTCCCATCCTCTCCTGTTTTTATCGTGAAGTATTGGTAGGAGGAAATGACATAAGTGTATATATTCATAATGATGACTTCTTCATAGATTTTACCCATATTGCTTTATTCACTCTCCTCAAATGGTCATTTTAATTTAACTGATTACTACAGCAGGTCCTCAAATAAGGTGGTTTCGGTCAATGTCGTTTCCTTATAATGGCCATGAGATGCTGTAGGGACTTAATTCTTGTTTATATGAATCAGCCTTCAGCAAAATTGGTTTTGTTTTCTGTCGTTTCACTTAAAGTCACAGAACCTATATCCACAGAGCTAAGTGGGGACTTAACTGTACTCACTTCATTAAGAGGTGACAGTACATCAAGGGAGAATTATGTCATTTGGCCAAATGATAACTTCTTCTGTACTTCTTTTCAATTTTCATGTTTAATATTTGGATGATCAACTTTAATTGTTATGCTAGAAGCCCCTAATGAAGGGGATTAAAACATGAAGCCAAGGATCAAATCGTCAAGGCAAGCCAACTGTATACATTTGCTCACCATTGGCTGGAAAGACAGTGGTCTGTTGATTGTCTCTTTGAGGAAATGTATCCATTCATATGGGTATGCAAATCAGATGGGCCAGATTTAAGTGTGATTCCCATTCATCATGGCACAACCTTTCTCAAATTCCTTCTCAGGACTGCCTTTCAAAGAGCTCAGTTGCATGTGTTCTGCTACAGAAGGTGGTTTTACTTTTGCATTGCTATCAATTTCTTTCCAGTTGTTTGATTTGGTTGTGGCTTTCCCCTGCTATGGCCCCACATGAAGCAAGGACTAATAAAAATAAAAATCAAGTGTCATAAGGCTGTATAGTACAACATCCAGAAATTGATGAACAATTCAACCTTCCACTTATACTCAGCTAAGTAGATTCTTGGAAGCTTTGTTCGCTTTGAAAGCTTCACGCCAGCAGAAGCAGGGGCGGGAGGAGTGTGGACTATAGCTGAGCCGGGGCAGTGCTCGCTGACCATCCCTGTCCTTTCTCTTGTTCTGCGTGCTCTACCTGCGTCCACACCTGCACGCCTCTAAGACGAGCCCAGGTTACCTTTACAAAAGGCCAGAATGGCCTCTCTTATTCTTGCTGTTCTGGGAGATGCACTCTGTACTAGGGAAGAGGCTTTAAGTAGTATGACCATGTCAAAGTCCAGATGTGACCATATGTGGAAGATCCCCTTGGGAGAGTCCCTAACCACAGGTGACAAATTCTGAGTGTCTGAAGCAGCTATATAGGACTGTTTTCATGCTATATACCCTTTTGCGAGGATGGCGGTGTCTAGGAGAATATTGACAAGAACCAAATAATATTCTAGGAGGGGAACATCTATATGGTTTGTCATGTTACTTCAACAGTGTTTGTGTCCATTCTTAACATCCCTTTTCTTCTATTCCTTTATTCCTTCTTTTATTTTTCTGTGGAGCATCCTCCAAACCTCAAAAGGTTTACAAAAGCAGAAAGAACTCACCAGACTACCCTACAAATTATGTCTTCACACAGGAAAATCTTAAAGCACAAACAAGTCGATATCACTTGTGTTTCCTTTTGCACTTGCAATAAAATCCTAATTCCGTACCAAGGCCTTTTAGGTCTTTCATGGACGTGACCCCTGCCTATCTTTCTAGTCTCGTTTTGTGCCTTTGTTCCATTTTGCTTATTCTGTTCCAGATACAGTAGCTTCTTTTAATAACTTGAAAGCAGTAAGCCATTTCCTGCCCGAGGACCTTTGCACGTACATTCTCTTTGCTGGGATACAATTTTCCTGGCTCTACTGAGTTGTAACCTTCATCCCCCTCCTCGCCCTTCCTCCTTGTCCTCCCTCACCCTCCTTTCCCCCTCCCTTGCTCTCTTCCTTCTCTCTTCTCCTGTTTCTTCTCCCCCATCTTCCTCCTCCCTCACTCTCCCCCCTCCCCTTTCTCCTCCCTCTCCCCCACTCTCCTCCCTCCGACTCTCACTGTGGAATGTGATGGCCACTGGAACGAGGTGACTTAGCACAGGCTTCACTCCCAGTGTGGGCTGTCACAGCAGAGGGACCGCAAATGCTGGCTTTAGTGTGTTTTCTGGCGAATTCGTGTGCCTCACTGTGGGAAGCACACACATCTCTTTTTTAACTACAGAAGGAAAAAAAGCTCACATTGGCCACCAGGAAAGTAGACAGCGTCATGAGCAGCTAGCTGGGACTGCGGTCCCCACCCCACTAATAATGACAGACACGCTGGAAGACTGCCAGCACACTCTGGAGGATTCCAGAACAGCCCCTGACTCAGGAATACCAGCGTCCCTTTCAGGTGCTGGGAACTTTGTTTTGCAATCTCTACTTTGAATTAGGAAACAGTCTAATAAATGGTTAAACGTGTTTGCCAGAAAATATTCCAGTCTAAGGCAACCGTTTCCAAATTCCCTGCAGAGATTGGACACAAGGGAACCCTGGCAGCCAAGCCTGTTATTAAGGAGGTCACAAGATGCCATCTGTTTCCGTGTGCACTTTACTGTCCAAGCGTAACAGCCACTAGGAGGTGGCGGCATTGGCTTTTGCCTGTGAACTTACCAGGTAGCACTGTGGCGGGCGCTGCGGTGACTGCAGTTTGCTCGTGTGAACAAACCAGGCGTCTGCCTGCAGGGCGGCTGAGTTGTTTGCAGGGCGTGAGGTGGGGAGAGGATGGAAAGGATGCAGAGCGTCGTTTTCAGGCCTGCCTTTGGCTGTGGCTCGAAAGCAACTGTGACGCTGAGGCTGGCTTTCCAGTCCTTTTTCTGCCGTGGGCTGGCCATCTACGGGACATGATCAGAGCACTCTTCCTTCGCCTGTAATGGTGAAATTAAGGCAGGTGACCAGACGCCTCATTCTTTTCTTCACAACTGAAGAAAAATGTTTTGAATCCATAGAGAAGTTGAAGGAATAGTACAATCAGTATTCACCTACTCCCACCTTGACTCATCAGTTGTGAGCATTTTACCATATTCGTTAATACGTAGTTTTATCTGAGTCTCTCCCTTTTGATACTTGTATAGATTTCTTTGCTGAACTATGGAGAGTAAATTACAGACATCATAACAGTATGTCCTTAACTACTTCAGTGTGTGCCTCCTAGGAGTAAGAATGTTCTCTTACAGAACAATAATGCTATTACCACACTTCAGAAACTCAATATAGATAGAATTACTTTTTAAAAACTTATTATACAGACCATTAAATGCCTGATTCTTAAAAATCTGTCAGGAAAGGTTTTCTCTCTCCTCTGTCCCAGTGGTTAGCAGCTCTCTAAGACACCTCCTATTTTTGAGGCAGTTTTAAACAATGCGATGAAAGCCCCGGGCCCTTATCTTCAGAAAATATCCCTAAAGACACTTAGAGCCAGCAATGCACACACCGCAGATCCCTCTGCTGTCCCCGGACTCCAGGTTCAGTGAACCTCTGATCTAAACCCTCCACTTTTGTGCACATACAATGGAAGTCCACAGTCCTCAGGAGGGTTAAGAACGGTTTGTCTTCGCTTTACAACATTACATTTTGTGTTCAAGGAGCTCAGATATGTGCAGGTAGGAGATCACATTCTCCCGAATCTGTGAAAAGGAAACTGAATCTCAAACACGGCTAAGAGTTATACTGTGACAGACACCCAGTAGGTGGACTAAATGATTAGAGGACCTAGAAGAACCCTTCCAAACCTGAGCTTCTCTGATTCCCGAAGAGCTGAAGCGCACCACCCCACACTTGCTCTCTCCATAACTTGCTTTTAAAAACCCAGTACCTGTGGCATTCATTCCGCCAGGCTGGTCCAACGTTTAAGGACCTACTGCATAAAGGTAGACTATGTTGGCAGTTACTGACATTGTTATTTTCAAAATTGTCCAGTTTGTTTACAGTTTAGGACTAGGAAGGGGAAGCAGGGAGGTGGATACACAAACGAGGATAACATGAAATGTCCTTAATTAAAAGGTCAGCTGAAACTGCTAAGGTCAAGTTGCACTGCGGGCTCTATTTTGCTAACTGTGCCCTCGCAAGGAAAAACATCATTAGCTAACCATACTTCAACATATGTGAGCTTGCTGGTGTTCCTTCCTCCTCATAAACAGACTAGAGAAAATGAGAGACATTTCTAGCTCAGTTAGAAAAATGACCAAGTTTGGCCAAAATATAGACACACGTGTGGAAATCCCTCATGCAAAATTCTAATGCCGCTTTCCCCTCCATAATCTACCAAATGCCTCAATATGACTTCCTGTAAAACTTTAATATTATAATATTATTTCATTTACTAATTAATGATTATCTCATATAATTCTTGAATGGAAGGGTGACGAAAAGCTAGTTAAAGCTCTGGCAGGCCTATGGGATTTATAAAGGTCTCATAGAGCTTTGGAAGGCTCAGGATTCATGGCCAACAAAATAATCAGAGCTAGTTGTGTAAGATAAACTTATCCACCTGCTTTTACCAGAGGTGTGAAAAAGTGGGTCTTTCTTGAATTTAGCTAAAAAAAAATTGCTGAACTTTTTATTTGACTTAAGCTTAAGGCACACGTTGTTTTCCAAAGTGTGAGTATTTGCCAAATGCTGTTTCTTTCCCTTGACTCATCCCTAATGACCAGACCACATCGTATTATGCCAACAAGACCCCCTTTTTCTTTGATCAGTTTTTCATTTTAGTCAAAGGAAAATTTTGAGAGAACTCAGTGTGATTAGTCATTTGGGAAATGCAAATTAAAATCACAGGGAGATACCACTTCACATCCATAAGAAGGGCTACTATCACAAAGACAGTAGCAAATGCTGGTGAGGATATGGAGAGACTGGAACCTTCATTCACCGGCAGCAGGAATGTCAAATAGTACAGCCATTCCGGGAAACATGGTGACATTTTCTTTAAAAGTGAGACATAAATTAGCTCTAGGATCCAACAATTCCACACCTAGGTATTTGTCCAAGAAAAATGAAAACATGTGTCTAGGCAAAGACTTATCACAATGTTCTCTTTGGCATTATCCCTAATAGCCCAAAGTGAAAACAACCCTTCTGTTCATCCACTGGTGAGTGGGTAACAAAATATGGTCTATTCATATCATGGAATACCACTCATCAATAAAAAGGAACAAATTACTGAAAGAGCTGCATTGTAGATGGACCTCAAAAACACAGTAAGTAAAGGAAGCCAGACAAGAAAGACCACATAATGTATGATTTCATTTGTATGAAATGTCAAATAAAGGTAAATCTATATAGAAAGAAAGTGGGTTAGTCATTCTCTGGGGCTGGAGAGAGTGAAGGAGATTAGCCATAAATGGGCCGGAGGGGTCTTTTTGGGGTAATGAAAATGCTCTAATACTAGTTTATGGTATCATGGGGATGGTTGCTTGATAAATTTACTTGAAATCACTGAACTATACCATTAAAATGGGCAAATTTTATGGTATATAAGTTATATACCTTGATGAAATTGTTAAAATATACACCAGAGCTGCTTTAGACCTTCAGAAAAGTTTATAGCCCTAGAATTTCAGCACGGCCTTGGTTCCCTGCAATTCTAAGAGTATAAGCTGTGCATTATAGAAGAATGTTCCAGGCAGAAAACTCTTCACCCCAACTCCTGGTCCCGCAGGTAAGGATCTTGGGAGTCACACTGCCTCCTAACAACAGACACAAAGCCAAACAGACTGAAAAATCGACAACCCTTCTTGGGTCCCCAAGAGAGGGGTGGGAACAGGGCCAACCACTGTCCCCAAAATTAGAGAGTCGGACGTGCGAGTACACGGAATCACAGCTCAGCGGAGCAGAACTTTGACAGCGGAAACCGCCACAGGTCCCAGCGCCTGCCTGGGGCTACCTGAACTGTGACCGACAGCGGCTGGAAGCTCCCATGGACAAGCCTGGGAGCTAAAACCTCCGGAGGGCGGAGGGCGGGGAACCCAGCCCCAGGAGAGGCCCTACAACACTGTAAGATTTACCTCCAGGAACTCGACTGGGATTCCAGAGTAAATATCAGAGAAAAATCCCCTTTGTGTTCCAGGAAGAAGGAGGGGAAAGGGGCTGTTCTGAAACATTCCAGGCACTGTGTTCTTAACAAGGTCCAGCCCTCAGGGGAAGCTAGTCACCCAGAACTTAACCTGCCAGGGCACCATCACAGCCTAGCTGACCCCCGGGAAGGGAAGTACCAACCCCGCCCACCCCAGCCTTCAATGTGGGTAAAAGGGACACCCACCTCCAGCCCAGTCTGGTTGTCCGTTCCACCCAACGGGGGAGAAAAAAGGCTTAGGAACCAGCCACGTTCCCCGCGGGAGGCGCAGGCCGTCACCAAGTACTGAGACCCCATCGGAGGCTCGCCTAGGAAAAACCTCACGAGGAAGGGCGGAGGGCGTGGGAAACCGACCCATTCTGATACGTTTTTTTATGATGGCCTCACAATTCCAATGTCTCCTTAGCTGTTCTCAGTACCATTTTTATTTTAAAATAAAATTGAAATGTGTACCATACAAAGAAATGTTTTACAGCCCCCTCCCCGCAAAAAAAAAAAAAAAAGCGCTCCAGAATTGTCTACTCTGAATGAACGCTTAGTCACGGTTTCGTCTTACCTGACCGACTCTTATTTTTCTGTTGGTCATATTCTAAAGGGAAATAAGTGATGTGTGTACAATGCGCTGATACAGCCTAGTCGGGGGTTTAAGAAATTTTATTGTTACAGTGGTTTAAGCCTGTTTTTTCCTCTTTGTTTGCACCCAGGACTGTTCCCTCCTCTAACCAGTTCCTTTAAACAGTCACTTGATGTCAAGCACAGAGTGGTAAGCCCAGCGTTCCCCAGCGATCCTTTACTTGTAGAAAGCGTCACTGGCCGTGCACGCAGCCCCTCGGAGGGTGCAGGGTCCAGTTCCCGGGAGCCTTTCTTCGCAGGGTTTTCATGGACTGATCAATATGTAAATGTGTATTATGTGTGTTTCTGTTTAAAGACGCCTTATTTAATATATATTATTGATTCACGCCTGAAGGAAGATGATCTAACACGCATATTTTCCCAGTAAGGCCTGCACAGTCTCCTTGTACTGAGGAACCCTAGAAAGCATTCAGCAACACACTGGGGGTGGGGGTGCATTAAGTAATGAAAGCACTAACAATGAGAAGAAAAATGCAGAAAATGGGGCATTAAATAAGTGGTGAACAGGACACTTGTTTACACTAGGAAGGTTGAAACAAGAAGGGAAAGTGTCCTCTTGTCCGACCTTGACTGAGAAGGTGCGTGTCAGGGGACTCTGACTGTTCGCCACTCTCCGCGTGTCCTTGAAAGACCTCAGACGTGCGGGGAGTATCGACTTGAGGTTACAAATAAACTCACAAATGGGAAACCCATGAATAATATGCATTGATGGCATTCATTTCCTTTGCCCACTTTCCCATTAGACTGTTTAGCTTTTCTTATTGATTTGGATAAGCTATTTGCATATTAGGATAGTGCTCTTTTGCCTAACCTATTTTATAAATAATTTCCCCAATTTTGTCTTTCCATTTTCACCATTAGTATCAGTTGTTACAGTGGCTTTTGGCAGCAGCATCAAACTGTCTTTTGAATTGGGGAGGACACCGCTGGAAAAGGAATTTTGCTAGTTTCTATTGTGAAGGTGGTTACTGTTTATTTTTCTTTCCTCTTCACAGGCACACCAGATCCTGTGGGGCAATTTTCTTCCAGCGCCTCCAAGTTATGAAAGATCATGTAAGTCCTACCCCAGACGGCCACTTCATATCCACGTCCTGCCATTACTTACGATCTTCACCTGCTACTTTCACCTCTCTCTCAGCCTGAGGCCACTCAGGGCCTTTTGCATTTCTGCCTCCTTCCTCTTGTCACCGCCTTGTGGCTTCCTTGTCCCCTCTGAACAGTCGGGGTGGTCGGAGGCAGAACTGAAAGGAGGGAGAAATCCTGCGGGGACCTTGGCTAGCGGCAGCTCTGAAAAGAGCAAACACGGGAGAAGGTGGTGGAGGTGGCAGAGGTGGGGGTGGGGGGGCGCATGAGGGTTTGGCGCGATTGATTAAAACTGGCTTAGGAATGTCAGTGAATTTTTTTTGTGCATACTATTGTCAATTGTGTTTACCACAAGCGCTTACACTCTGGCTGTCTGCCTTTTCACGCTAGATGTGAGAACTAAAAAGCCAGCCTTTGAGAACCTGATGAAGTACAACCAGCGAAGGGCTGTCTTCCTGAGGCGTGTAAGAATCTTTGTACTTGTCACCCAACAGGGGACCCCTGCGGTGGTGTCAGTGGGCGTGCCTGTCAGTGTGGCAGGGAGGGCGTTGGCTTGTGCACATTTAGAGTCGGTGTGAAGGTCACAGAGAGGCACGTAGCCTGTTCTGAGAAGCAGTCTTCCCTAAAGCGCCGTGAACATTTCTTGTCTAGAGCTTTCCAGCTGTTTTGGAAACCAGCTGCCCAGGGGATTGGATTTTCCTCTTGTACTGTCCAAATTTTCATCAGTGATATGTGTGGTTTGCTGGATTTTGCCTCTTGTGAGAAAGGCATTAAGTTCTCAGACTGTCCTCCCTTCTGGGGACCCTCACTGGTTTCTTACTTGTATTGTCCTTGCTCCCTCTGACGTGGCCTTCCACGGCTCTGTCTTGCCTAATAAGACTTCCTCAAAACCCAGTAATTTTTCACAGTATGTTAAAATGGGATTCTTTTTATGCCTTAGAGCTCTGGCAGAGACTCCTAGAGAACAAGTTGAAAGAATAAAGACTGGTTTCTGAAGCACCCTACTGACTTCACCTCATTTAGTGTAAATGATACAATTCTTTTTGCTACTTTATTGCTTTTGTTTATTAAGATTTCTCTAAACTGGCTTAACACAACCGCAACTCAGCCTCATCCTAAGTAAATTATACAGGGTGCAGCAAAAGGAAGTTTACAGTTGTTTGTAGGGAAAAGAATATAATAACTAATAATAATACAAGAAATAACTCTGTGTTTCACATACTCACAACTGTAAACCCACTTTTGCTCAGCCTTGTATTTGCAATATCATGTGTTTGGTATGCTAGTTATGTGTATTAGAAAAAAGAAAACCTGACCATTAAAATAAAAAATGTTATCAGGTACCACCTAACATCATCATAAGAACTGCCACTTATACATAGATACCACCCTGGAAAATGGTAATCTGTGGGCACTGAGTAGCTGATTGATAAAGTGAGCTAACGGGACAGCCCACCTTGGTTCCCAGACCTATTTCAAGTTGGTCTTCCAGAAATAGGGCATTTTTCTTGCTTTTTCTGCTGTAGGGCCTGGTAAGTTTCCTATGGCGCGTTTCAGCCCGGGCAGGCATGAGGGGGCGGGCTGTGGAGGGAGCTGTTTGCGGGCATCCGAAGCTGGGCAGTCCACAGGAATTACAGCGTTTGGGCAGCCGGGGGCCTCCCTTTGCTGTAGGGTTGGTACATGCTTCTAGGAAGGGGAGACAATTTCCTGAAAGTATATTTACTGTGAGCCGGCCTCCTGGGAGCTGCTTGGGAGAATCATTAACTCTTGTTAAATAAGTAAATTCGTCTTGCTGCACGGAGCTGTACCCGGGCCAAGCAATCCCCTGCCAGAGTCCGCAGCTGTTCTGGGGAGCAGTTGCCTTTCTCTTTGAGGTGCTTCCCTGCCCCCTCCCCTAAAGAGAATCCTCTGTGCCACGGTAGCCTCTTTTAAGTCAACAATTCCTGACAAATTGGTGACATTGCATCCTGCTCTTGTTTTTACAGTGCAACAGCAAACTAAAAGTACACACACACACACACCACGATTCGTATGAGGCACTTGTCTGGGAAACATTGGGCCTACAGTTCTGACCAAAAAATAAATCATGACCTTTTATTTACTAGATAAGGCAAAATCCTAATTTTTTAAATAGGCGCTGTGTTTTGGGGGAGGAAAACATGCACTGAGATGTAAAATGTACAAATTCTTGCATCAGCAACAAGCAGGAATTAAATGAAATTTTCAATCATCATTAAGAATATTCTCACTTTAAAAAGTAATTGCTTGGGGTCTCATGCCTTCAGTAGCCAGCTTGTAAATATTTATGTGTTGGGGCCCAGCCTTCAAGAAGTTCATGATGTAAGAGTGCAAGCAGAGAAATCATCACACCCAGCAGGGCGCAGACTAAAGCGACGGGAGGGGAGGCAGGGGAAAGAATCTTGTCGCTGAAGGATGGTTAAAGGACAGCAGGGAAGCCGGTGGGTGCTTTGGTTTGTGATTCCAGGGCTTCTTGCTTCTCTTTCTCTCTTTTCCTCTTATTGCTCTGGCCTTCCTGGCAGAGACAAGAGAGATGAACTCGGAAGGCTAAAGGCGCTGGAGGAAAAAAGCAGGAACAATCCCCACTCCCGCTCACACGTGATGTCTGGCAGTTGCATTCCCGATTCCGCGCAAAAACCGTAACCTTTGCGCCAGGGCAACTGCTGACAACCAGGCCATTTTTCTCCAGCCTCCGGAACCCTGCCATTCTGCAAGCAAGACCAGCTCGTCTGAAGACTCAGATGCTGATCAATACTACGTGTACAGTCTGGGAGGACCTTTGGAGTCCCTTAGCTGAGTCGGAAAACAAAGCCACAGAGCTGCAGGTCCGCCGTTTGCCTAATTAACGACTTGGAGGTAGGAGGCGGCCTTGGAACCCGTGGCTCTCGGCAGGCTGGCTTTCTGGGACCCTTCCCTTGGCTTCAAACGCCTTCGTCCCTCGATTGTTTTCCCCCTTCTTAATTGGAAGAGGGGACAAAAGTTACCGTTACCATCATTATTACATTTTCCTTTAAAATAAATACTTGGCACTCCACGTCTCTGCCAGAACCACAGAAACGGTGCTGGGGCCGCGACAGCTGTAGGCTCCAGAGTCGGGGAGCCCGACCTTCAACCTGGGAGCCCAGGCGGGCGGGGCTCGGGGGCGCCGGAAAGGCGCGCTGGTATCCAGAGCAGAGGCTCGAAGCCCTGCAGCCTTCCGCGGCCAGGCTGTCCCCCGAGCGAGGCGCCGCGGAGAGGCACGTTGGCCGGTGGGGCGGGCTGGGGCGACCCGGGTCCCGGCGGAGGCAGGTCGGGGAGAGCCAGGCCCTTGGACGCCCGGGCTCTCTCCGGAGGCCGCCCCTTCACGTGTCCCAGAAGCCCAGCCACGCCCGCCCCAGTCACGGCTCCGCCCCCCGCCCGGGTCTTCCTCCCCCACCTCCTCCCTCCTGGATCCTTCCCACCCCAGGCCACGGTCCGCCCCCTCCCCGTGCACGGCCCCCACGAGCTGCCCCGCCCTTGCGCGGCGTGCGGGAGGCCGGTCCCCCCAAACACCCCCCCCCGGCCCTCCCCAGCGCAACCTCTCCTGCTCCGAGACTCTGCGCGGGAAGGACCCCGACGCCCGCCTTCCAGGGCCGCGCAGGGCCCCAGCAGCCGCTGCCCCGGAGGGAAGGCAGAACCGCGTGTGACCGCGAACGTAGCTGCCTCCTGCCCCTTCTTCCTCCCCACCCGGCCCGCCCGCCCGCCCTCCGCCCCCAGCTCCATTTACTCCCGCTTACCGAGACCGTTCTTCTTTTTACCATTTTTATTGAAAAGGTCATTCAAAGTCGCACCATCACCCTCCAGCCCCCCAAAGGAAAAAAAAATCTTGCTAGTGTTTAACTCTTGTTCTGGAGCCCAGGTTAGGCAAAGCGCATTCCCGGCCAGCCATCTGGTCTCATTCCCGGGGTCCCTTCGTATGGTTTCCATTAAGTTCGCCAAACCGTGCATTGAAAATGCAGCCTCGGAGCCACTGGGGAACCTCCGGGATTTGTGCCCTGGCCAGCCGCGGTGCCTCAGAGCATCCCAGGCCTCTGTTTCAGCTCTGAGTCTAGTCCCTCTTGGTCCTGGTCTTACACTGTAATTAATATGCTTTGCCACTCCAAGAACGTCAGTTCTCCATGTCAATGGTTATTAGTCAGTCATTCGGTATTTAACTATATGCAAAGCGTAGCTGATTAGAATTCTGTTTTAATTTTAAAAATCTATGTTAACAGCTTTGCAGGTGATTTTACAAAATAACCAGGCCGCAGGAATTCCTTTGACCAGCAACAGTGCTATGGCTGGGTCTGCACCCTTGCCCTTGTGGGCCCCATTCTCTTACACCCCCTTCCCCAAGGTGAAAACCAAGTGTTTGCTTATGGGAAAACAGTCCTTTACACTTTGGCTGGAACTTGTGGTCCAAGAAAAAAGGGAACAGGCAGGTTCAAAAATTCAGAGTGTTGTAACTGGAAAGTTCCTTAAAATTTGCTGAAAATAAGCCTGTCCATTTACTGAAGAGACTCAGAACGTGCCGGGCTTGGCGGGGTGGGGGTGGGGTGGGGGGGTCACAAGGCTTATGAGTAAAGTACTAACTCAGGATGACGGCCTAATCTGGGAAGGAGACCGAGACCTCCGCGTTTCATCCTACGCAGCAAAGAGAACTCCGACCACCCTCAGTTCAGCTGTAGCACGTCCTCGCTCCGGCCCTTTCTGCTGTAGCTCCCTCCCTGTCCGGCTGGAGGTCTTGCCTGTTGGGGGAGTTACAGCCCTTTCTTCCTTCCCCTCCCCGAGGCTTCACGTCCTTCTCTCTTTTCTTTCTTTCCTTCCTATCCCTCATTCCACTCGAGCCCTGACCAGGAGATTTTATTTGGGTTTTTAAAATGAAACCAGGTGCTGCATAAAACAAAAGCCGAGCAACAACAAGGAAAGACGATCCAACGCCCGAGGAATGTGCTGAGTTTCATGACTCAGGCTGCCCTGGCAAAGAGCTCCGACTTACATGGAGAGGTGGGTGGCACACAGCGCAGACCATACATGGCAGCCTGGCCTCCCCAGATAGGTTGGTCAGGGCAGGCTGTGACTCATTTCGCAAAACCAGCGACTCTGTTCCTTCTGGAACAAGACTTCCCGGAGGCCGGAGCCAAGGGATCGTCAGCGTTTCCCTATGGGGCCAGTTGGACCTGACATAGCAGGGGCCACCCTGAGGTTCAGAGGGAAGGGGAGCCTGGGCAGAGGGCCACATCCCCGGAGGAGAAACAGGCCTGGCGGACTTGGGCAAGGGCTTTTGGTGCATGTAAGAGGTGAATAACATGTAAGCTGCAAAGAGACGTGGAAATCGGCATGCACTGTTGTGGAGACAAGGGCTTGCAGGCTCCAGGTGGCAGAATTGTCACAGTGCCTTGGAGGAGAGGAGTGTGGCAGGGCTGCTGAGGTCCCCCAGGTGTCTGCTCTTTGCAGGGGTGTGTGGTGAAGAGCGCAGGAGAGGTGGGCAGACTCTGGCGGGTTTCTGGGGTGCTGTTGCTTGTGCCATGAGAAGAGTAACTAATAACGGGACTGATGGACCCAGACACCCGCAGAGACACCCAGGCACACATCCTGAGAGACCTTTTCAAATGAGCATAGCAATGGGGTGCAGGGGACTTTTTTTTTCTGTTACTAAGAGACAAGCTGGGAGCGCTGAGGAGCAAGTGTCTCCCAGCAGTGGGGGGAAGGGCCTGCACTTGGGTGACAAGGACCCATTTGTGTGCCCTTCATTACCCAGGGCTGGGCTGCATGGGACTCCGGTTCCTCCCTCCCCAGAGAAGGCTGTCACTTTCTGAATGAGAATGAACCTTGACTGGGGTAAATGAGATCTCCACGCAGCAACCTCGTGGAACAGGGCCTTATTTCTCCTTTTCTTTCTTCTCCTCTCCTTTCCACGGGCTACCCATTGAAAAGCTACAGTGTGTATTCCGTAATTGCAGGAAGAGCTCTGCTGGACTCTTTCATTAAAGCCTCCTTACCTGGAAAAATAAAGCCTTTTGAGGACCATGACTTCATAAATATTTATAGTGCAAACAGGCGTCACTCTGGTTCTGCAGGAGAATGGGCTCATTCAGTTTTATTTATGATGTGACACGCGGGTGAGTGACATCCGTCATCTGGGTTGGCCCTACACTCTGTTCCACTGAAGCATGTTTATGGAGCGATTATCCCTGCAAATAGTTGCTATATTTAGTCCCTCTTCTTCCCTCACCCCCTTTTAGCCCTTTTAACTCCCAAACCAGCAAAAAGCCAAGCTTACGGTCTAGGGAAGGTTTGAACCCTAATGACAAGGCGCTGGGGCTTCAACCAGCGAGCGCTGTGGGTTGGCGAGTTTGGAGGCAATTAGACTGGGAACGATGACTGTTGTTAGAGCATTTATACACTAAGGTGGTTTTGTTGGGCCTGCGTGTAGCAGGTGAGGGCCCTCGGCTGGGCATGAGGGGTTTGACAGGTGATGGGCACAACCCTGAGTGACGAATGCAGATGGATATTTGTGAAACTTTCCTTCCCAGGGAGCTTTCTCGGGACAGGATCTCAGGTCTGTCACCACGCACCCTAGGGCTCTGGGGCAGAGGCCGGTGGGGAGGTCTGTTAGCTCGGTCAAGGTTTCTGGTGTAAGGCACAGCCGTCCCCTCTCAGCCACCCCGGGCCCCCGGCTGGGGGACGGCAGCGGCCCTCCCCGGCGCGAGGAAGCAGGGCCGCCTCGACTTCCAGCACCGCAGCTGCGCGCGCCCCGACCCGGGCCCTCCGGGCCGGACCCGGGCCTGCAGCAGGGCTCAGGGCCTGCCTCCGATCAGCGTGGCCGCCTATTGTTTACCCTGGGAAGGGCCCGGGCTTGGCACAGGGGCCTGAAGGGTTGCCAGCATTTTATTTTTAGAGACAGGAAAATGTTTGCTTTTTCGGCAGCTGCTCTTTTTTCGACACACACCGGGACGGCGTCAAAAAGTTCACGTGAGAGATGCCGAGCCCTGAATTCATAGCGAATGACACGGGCAGCAGTGCCGGGAACCTCTGTCCAGGAGGCGTGTGGAGCCCGGGGGCCGCCAGCAGCGGGCCCGCGCCCCGCGGTCCCTCCTGCGGCCTGCGCGGCGGCAAGGCCTCCAAGGAGCCCCCTTTCGGTGCGTCAGCGGGTCTGAAGGTTTATGCCTCTCTCATCTCCTTCTCCACCAGTTCATTGCCTAGTCCAAGTCGGGAAGCAGAGGAAGAAAAGCAAGCAGCCTGCCGAACCGGGAGTCCCTGCCGTCACGGAGGCTGGCGCGAGGCCGCCGGCTTCCGTGCCCGCGCGTGGGCTGCTCCCTCAGGGGCTGCACTTCCAAGTTTGACTGGAGTGATTATTTGCCCCCAGGAGGGTCACTCTGAAAACTTTTTTTTTTTTTCTGGCAGGTCCCGTGACCTTGGTTACTGACAATTTATCTGAAAGCACTTCGAAAACTGTAATGACATTATGTGAAGGTAAAATGAAATGGAAATAAAAGTAAGGAATTAAATTGTGTCCTTCCTTCCTTTCTCTCCAACCTTTTCAAAAAGTACCTTTTAATTATAAAAATAAAACACAAATACGTTCTCCTTGGCCTCCTGATTCCATTTTAGACTCGTGTTTCTTCTGGCTGGAGTACGTCCTCCAGTAGGTTTTCTTTTGTCCTGCCTCCTGTCTCCTCTGGAGAGTGTCTGTCGACCACAGAATTTCCTGAGGGCCTCTGTGTCTGAGAAATTACTTCAGTCTCTCTCGAGCGTTAGTTGGGCTTCTTACAGAACGCTAAGTTTGAATTTATTTTTCCTGAGCATTTCTAAGCTATTGTTCCATTCTTTTCTTGCCACCACTACGGTTGATGTGAACCTCTGCAGGTGATAGATCTCTGTCCTATTGTCCCTTTTAGGACTGCCTTTTTCACCTTGATGTTCAGGAGTTATGCTATCTCTGTGTGTGAGTTTATTTTTAAAGTTTTTCCTCCTCGGCGCTGATAAGCTCTTTCAATCTGCGAGCTCAGGTCTTTCTTCACTTCCAGGATGTGGGGTGGTGAGGAGAAAAATTGAAAAGGTTAAATTGATCTATATAAGAAAGTGTGAGGGAGAAGAGAGAGGGGCTTGTGTGGCCTGGGAGCTGGGAAGAATTTTAAGGGGTTCTAGAGAGAGGGAGAAATGTGAGATTGGAGCAGCGGTCCCCAACATTTTTGGCACCAGGGACTTCCCTTTGTCGGAAGACAACTTTTTTTACAGTTGGTGGAGGGGTGGGGGGGAGGCAGGAAGAGGAGCTCAGGTGGTAATAGAGCAGCATCCACCGACCATGAGGCAGGGGTTTGGGGACCCTGGTTGGAGGAGCTGCCAGTAAGGTAAGGAAAATGCCCTCAGAACATTTTTAAGATCTTTGGATGTACGTCGAGAACGTACTCTCTCTCTGGTGTTTTATGGAGAGGCTGAGACTCGAATTGCTGTTAATTTTTTTCTGTGGGACTGTTTTTTCCTGTGATTTGATGCTGAAGCCAACACAAGACTGCCTGGGGTCAATATGAGTTATAGAAACAATTATTATTATTTTAAGTTAATAAGCAAATATCTTTCCTTCACTCTGTCTCTCTTCTCTTACCTTGCCCCACCCTCTCCAGACCTTGGCTTCTTCTTTTATATAGTGAGGAAATAGAATGAGATGCTCTAAAGACCTGCCATTTTCTTCCTTTTACTCATCTTTCATCTCCCTGCCTAAATGTCCTTTTTATGGCTGATAGCTTATGAGAAGAACAGACACATAGTTTGTTCACTCATTTCTGTAATTTGTCACCATAGGAGCTGTCATGAATAAAGTATCGATTTGGACAGGGAGGAGAGCGCAGCGACCAAGCCTACAGCAGGCCAGGCCTCGGCTTCAGGTGTGGTGTGTGAAGCCCGGCCAGCCTCCCCAGAAGCTCGCTGCTCTCAGCAGCGGGAGCCGTTCCATGGGTTCTCCCAGTCCACCCGCTGGAGCTGACGTGTGGCTCAGAGGGCCCTGGGAAAGCGCGAGCCACCGTAGCCTCTCCGAGCACGGAAAGGCAGAAGATGCAAACAAAGTGACGTTACTGGTCTTGAAACATAATCACTGAATCTATTTTTATTTTATCATGTGCATGTATTATCTTTAAAACAGTACATTTAAAAACACACACACACACTCTGAAGTATTTGATATGAAGAGAGAGTAAACATGCAGCCTGTATAATCTGAATTACTCTACTAATTAAATGGTATTTAGAGCTGTAGCCCCAACCCCCCTGGCAAACACTGAGCTCCTAGTTGATAGTTGCTGCTACTGTCCCTGGAATCTGAGACGTACCTGAGCAAGTCGTGTCTCATGCTAATACCATTTTGATGTGTAATGTGGCCCTTTTCAGATGACAGCGTGCATAGCGATCGCACTTTGGCAGGTGGATGCCTGGTGGTCTTGGATAAGGCCAAGAAGGGAATGAACTCTCAAGTACCTGAAAGCCTGTCAAGGTCAAGCCTGCTGACCTCCCATTATCTAGACTGAGAAATTTGTTTCCTAGATTCTCTGCATCGACCCATTGGAGCTGACATGTGACATAGAAGAGAGAGATTTGTTAAAGGCTCAAATGCAGAACTGATATTCAACCCACAATTGCATCTCTGAGCAAACGGAGGCAGGAGGTGCAAACAAAGTCCAGGAGTCCTCTGAAAATATGGGGCAGACAGGTGAGCACGGTTGGACTGGAACTTCAAGGAAGTCGGGCAATTCTTCAAGCTGTGTCAGTGTTTCCTCTTCTCCGGAATGCGGGATTCCCTGCACTTTGTGTGTAGTCGGTGCTCTACCCACCTGCGGAGAGGGTGCTGTGCCCTCCAGGTGATATGTCTGTAGCCCTGCCTTTCTACACAAATAGGACAGTGTGGGGGTTTTTTAAACTGCACTTTATGTTTAAAATAAAAAAAAAGAGCTATGCATTTACTTTATAATTTCAAGATGTTGTATTTTCAATTTTAGGTTAATCTAGAATTGATTATGGCTCCTTATTCTTTAGATTTCCTACCTTCTCCTCCATCTTCCCTCCAATCCTTCTGTTAAACTGTGAATGCTCTATAAGTTTGTCTGTAAATACCCTTCTGGAATGTGGTGCCCACGGAAAGAATGTTTGTAAAGGGAGAAGTTCTGAAATAATAACCACCCCTTGTTTTGAAATTTTTGATTTTCATATAACAGCATTTGTAAAAGCAGGGCCGCCACTAGAGAAATGTGTGACAAGTATCTAGCATATGTCATTACTGCAAAGTACTCCCCTCAAAACACATGTCCACCTCGTCTGGGTCTGCGGCTTTAACAGACGGGCCCAATGTGGGGACACACCCCCAGCTTCTCAGAGTGTGGTCTGCGAGGCTCGGCCAGATGGACTCCTTCAGAATAAATGCGCTCAATATGATCATATTTACATTTGTGCTTCTGGCATTAATTAATAACTTTCTCATGCTATTTAATAAAAAAAACCCAAACAGATTATTTCATTTCCATCTCCTAAAATCCCATACATTTCTTTTCATAATGTCTGATGAGGGTCATTTATTTTCCCCTGTCGGTGAGGTGGCAGCAAGCACAGGCAGGACAGTTGAGCCTGTAGTTTTTTTCCCAGCTGGAGTGGCGTGTCCCCTGAGGGCTTTGAGAGACATCGCCCTGCACAAAGGTTGGGTTTGCAATGCATCAGGAAGGGAGAGTCTGCGACAAGGACACCCTCCAACGGGAATGACCTCTTTTAAGCTGCCTGATCTACCCCTCGGTCTCATATTCTGGAATTTGATGACTGAATCTGTGTCCTCTGACCATGTCCATCATGTTTTTACAAGAGGTGTATCGTCTTCCCTTCTAAGCCTTCATCTTTCCTCGCTGCAGTCCTTATTTGGAATCCTGGCCACAGTATAAGGGTGGTGGGGGGCATGCCATCCCGTGACTATTATTTTTATTTTTTGCAATTTTCTAGACTTGTACTTGGGAGAAGTGCTACTGAATCTTATCCATGCAGCCCGTTTCTTGGGGATGTCTTTGGCTAAAGAAACTGGTCCACGCAGCCAGAAATAGCAGAATGGTGTGAAGACAGACTGAAGCACTTTAAAGGATGAGTTATACCGAAAGGAATATGGAAAATTGGTCTGGAGTGTGGCTGAGGATTGCGATGTTGGCAGATTTTCCTGCTTTAAAGGAATGTCAAGTAGGAATGGGAAAAGTTAGTTTTCCCTGAGAGCGAAGGGATGAGCTGTTTATTTATTATTTATTTTTAGAGGGGAAAAGAGGGCGAAAGGGAAAGAAACATCAATATAAGAGAGAAACATCAATAGGCTGCCCCTTGTACATGCCTCACCCAGGACTGAGCCTGTAACCTAGACATGTGCCCTGACTGGGAATTGAACTGGTGACCTTTCAGTTTGCAGGACAGTGCCTAACCAACTGAGCCACACCAGCCAGGGCATGATTTGGCATCTTTTAGCAAGTGCTGTATTGGCATGATTGTTTTTTCTCGCACTACCAAACTTACTATGAGAGTTGACTTTCTCCTTGTCCCTTAGCTCCTCACCTTCAATCCATCCTTTAATCTATTGCAGTTTGGTTTCCATCCCCAACATGTCACTGAAACTGGATCCTTAAAGATCACCAGGGGCCATCACATTGTTAAAAAGTCTCTAGATTCAACCTCACCCACTCATCCATCCTCTGTGTGATCTCATATCAAAAATCTCTCTAACCTTGGCTTCTCCTAACAATGTTGTGCTTGTCTACGGCTTCTCTGGTCACTTCTCAGTCTCCTTGTTGCCTCCTCCTCTTCTCCATTAAAGTCTGCATCTCCCAAGGTGCTGTCTTTGGTGCCTTTGTTGCCGTTGCCATTGTTGTTATTGCCACTGTGGTGTTACCACCCTCTCTGCTGGCTCCAGATATCATCTCTGTGTCTACAGGTCTGATCATGAACTTTCTTCTGCTTTCTGGAATGAATTTTTCACAGTCTTTTCTACACAAGAATGTCTTTTTCATGTAGGAAACTATTGCGAGACACCGGGCAAATGTGCTGAGGACCGGCACCCAGATGTTATGACTCGATCTTGATTCATAAAATATTTTGCAGGTAAAATAAACAGGATTGTGATGGATTTTCTGTCCATGGAAATAGAGGAAGAAAAAGGAGGAGGAGGAACAGAGGGGGCAAAGTTGACCCCAAGTTTTGTGGCTTGGGTAACGTGGAGGATGGGTGTGCCTTTATTGGGCTAAGGAATACATGGTTAAGAGGCAGATCAGAGGAAGGAGTTGGTGGCTTCAATTTAGGATATCTTGAACCTACCACATCTCTGCCTTTTTTGTCTTTTGAGTCTTCCTCTTGTGGTTCTGCTAGAATTACTTTTCTAAAACGAGGATCAGATCATGCCATTCTCCACAAAATTCATTCTTAGCTCTTGTTAACTACAGAGTAGTTGAGACATTCAGTCTCCCTAACAAGGGGTTCGAAGCCCTGTGCAAGATGGCTTTGCTCGGCTTCATTAGGATCTTCCAGCACAACAGAACCCTGCCGTGCAGTTTCTCACCTTCTTGCCTTTTCTCAAGCTGTTCTCTCAATCTGGACTGCCCTCCCCACTGTTCCTGCCGAGGAAAATCCCACTCATCCTTTACGTTGCAGTTTGCAGGCTGCTCCCCGCCTCCTGCCCCATAAAGCCGCCTTTCACCTTGTTGGTATTAGTAGCTCTTTATTCAATATTTCCACAGCAATTTATTTATTTATTTATTTATTTATTTATTTATTTAAAAAAGATTTTATTTATTTTTAGGGAGCAGGGAAGGGAGGGAGAAAGAAAGGGAGAGAAACATCGATGTGAGAGAGGTACATCTATCATTTGCCTTTTGTGCGTGCCCCACCGGGTACAGAGGCTGCAATCCAGGCATGTGCTCTGACTGGGAATGAAGTGGTGACCTTTTGCTTCGCAGGACAATGTCCAACCAACAAGCCACCCAGAGCCAGGGTGTCCGCAGCAATTTATGCATGTTTTTCCTGGTACGATAATGCATTTATTCAAACATGCGTTTCTTCTATGGGCTGATAAACTCCTTAAGCCTAGGAAATGCATCTTCTTTATCTCCATTTCTTATCAGCCACAGGCATATGATTTTCCACATATTTGTTGCTCCTTAAATAATGAATGAAAAGCAGAGAGAGAAACTGGTCAAAGTTAGAAGGAAAAGGGGGCCCGAGAGGAGAAGTGATGGGTAGAGGGCCTTCGCCTGCTCCTCATCGGCCTGGGCGTGCTTTAGCATGAGGCCAACCGGGAGGAAAATTTTGGATTGTGACGAACAGGTGAAGAGAATAATAACGAGGGAGGCACTGGATGATGGGTAATGTGAGGGACTCATGTTTAAAGACAGGATCCCGTGACACGAAACGATGCATGGATACAGTTGAGCCTTACTCACAGGCAGATATGTCAACTTGGGAAGCCCTTCATCAGCAGGAAATTTAATTATTCTGCCCATTTGGAAAAGATACATGGCCTCTCCGTGTAATCAAGACTCCTGCCTCCTTAGTTACTGCTGCTGCTGTGTTTATTGTCTGATGCCATAGAGAGCTGGGACGCTGACTGATAGGACGGTGATGACCCGTGGCCGTGCCCATTTATGTAATTGTGGGAAAGATGGGCAAGGGGATATTGATGAATGAGATTACGTTGACTCTTAATTACTCTTTTCATAAGCTACTCCTTTATTAACCTGTATTTGTTTTCAGCCACACAAAGGAAAAAAAGGAAAAATAATATTTTGTAACATTGTGACTCCTAGAATAATAAATTCATGGTCTTCCTTCTGGGTGTCCTCCCCCACCTACATATAAATTATGTTTATAACTATGTATGTCTTCTATGCATTCTTTTATGTATGTGTAATGCATC